GCTGTAGGCTCAGGTGTTTAACATAGGTCAGTGGCAGTAATTCTGAAAAACAACTATTTTATAGCATAGAAAACAAATGGGAATATTTGTGCAATCAAGGTACAGACCACACCTCCAACTGTATATGTTTAAGATATTTAAATGGGGTGAGTGACAGACAGGAGTTGTCGCCTTGATAAGTTCCTTTCCTGAGGATGGCTCACCCCTCACAGTTCTGGGTGACTTCAACCTCCCTACGTCTACCTTTGACTCATTTCTCTCTGCCTCCTTCTTTCCACTCCTCTCCTCTTTTGGCCTCACCCTCTCACCGTCCCCCCCTACTCACAAGGCAGGCAATACGCTTGACCTCATCTTTACTAATCTCACTGCAACTCACCTCCATGTCTCCGACCACTACTTTGTATCATTTTCTCTCTCGCTCTCCTCCAACACTACTCACTCTGCCCCTACTCAGATGGTAATGCGCCATCTCCTCAACCCTCCTCTCATCCCTTTCTGCATCCTTTGACTCTCTATGTCCCCTATCCTCCCGGCTGGCTCGGTCCTCCCCTCCTGCTCCGTGGCTTGACGACTCATTGCGAGCTCACAGAACAGGGCTCCGGGCAGCCGAGCGGAAATGGAGGAAAACTAGACTCCCTGCGGACCTGGCATCTTTTCACTCCCTCCTCTCTACATTTTCTTAATCTGTTTCTGCTGCTAAAGCCACTTTCTACCACTCTAAATTCCAAGCATCTGCCTCTAACCCTAGCAAGCTCTTTGCCACCTTCTCCTCCCTGCTGAATCCTCACCCCCCCCTCCCCCTCTGTGGATGACTTCGTCAACCATTTTGAAAAGAAGGTTGACGACATCCGATCCTCGTTTGTTAAGTCAAATGACACTGCTGGTCCTGCTCACACTGCCCTACCCTATGCTTTGACTTCTTTCTCCCCTCTCTCTCCAGATGAAATCTTGCGACTTGTGATGGCCGGCCGCCCAACAACCTGCCCGGTTGACCCTATCCCCTCCTCTCTTCTCCAGACCATCTCCGGTGACCTTCTGGCTATGTCCCTTCCGTCTTCAAGAGAGCGAGAGTTGCACCCCTTCTCAAAAAACCTACACTCGATCCCTCTGATGTCAACAACTACAGACCAGTATCCCTTCTTTCTTTTCTCTCCAAAACTCTTGAGCGTCCCGTCTTTAGCCAACTCTCTTGCTATCTCTCTCAGAATGACCTTCTTGATCCAAACCAGTCAGGTTTCAAGACTGGTCATTCAACTGAGACTGCTCTTCTCTGTGTCACGGAGGCTCTCCGCACTGCTAAAGCTAACTCTCTCTCCTCTGCTCTTGTCCTTCTAGACCTGTCTGCTGCCTTTGATACTGTGAACCATTAGATCCTCCTCTCCACCCTCTCCGAGTTGGGCATCTCCGGCGCGGCTCACTCTTGGATTGCGTCCTACCTGACCGGCCGCTCCTACCAAGTGGCGTGGCGAGAATCTGTCTCCGCACCACGTGCTCTCACCACTGGTGTCCCCCAGGGCTCAGTTCTAGGCCCTCTCCTATTTTCGCTATACACCAAGTCACTTGGCTCTGTCATATCCTCACATGGCCTCTCCTATCATTGCTACGCAGATGACACACAACTAATCTTCTCCTTTCCCCCTTCTGATAACCAGGTGGCAAATCGCATCTCTGCATGTCTGGCAGACATATCAGTGTGGATGACGGATCACCACCTCAAGCTGAACCTCGGCAAGACTGAGCTGCTCTTCCTCCCGGGGAAGGACTGCCCATTCCATGATCTCGCCATCATGGTTGACAACTCCGTTGTGTCCTCCTCCCAGAGTGCGAAGAGCCTTGGCGTGACCCTGGACAACACCCTGGTCGTTCTCCGCTAACATCAAGGCGGTGACCCGATCCTGTAGGTTCATGCTCTACAACATTCGGAGAGTACGACCCTGCCTTACACAGAAAGAGGCACAGATCCTAATCCAGGCACTTGTCATCTCCCGTCTGGATTACTGCAACTCGCTGTTGGCTGAGCTCCCTGCCTGTGCCATTAAACACCCTACAACTCATCCAGAACGCCGCAGCCCGTCTGGTGTTCAACCTTCCCAAGTTCTCTCACGTCACCCGCTCCTCCGCACACTCCACTGGCTTCCAGTTGAAGCTCGCATCTGCTACAAGACCATGGTGCTTGCCTACGGAGCTGTGAGGTGAACGGCACCTCCGTACCTTCAGGCTCTGATCAGTCTCTACACCCAAACGAGGGCATTGCGTTCATCCACCTCTGGCCTGCTGGCCCCCCTACCTCTGCGGAAGCACAGTTCCCGCTCAGCCCAGTCAAAACTGTTCGCTGCTCTGGCACCCCAATGGTGGAACAAGCTCCCTCACGACGCCAGAACAGCGGAGTTACTCACCACCTTCCGGAGACACTTGAAACCCCACCTCTTTAAGGAATACCTGGGATAGGATAAAGTAATCCTTCTACCCCGCCTTACCCCACCACCCAGAAATAAAATAAAAAATACATATTGTAAAGTGGTTATCCCACTGGCTATAAGGTGAATGCACCAATTTGTAAGTCGCTCTGGATAAGAGTGTCTGCTAAATTACGTAAATGTAATGTAAATGAGTTGGGGGTTCAACATTAGACACTTTGTATGACACGTGTCTGGTATCCATCAAAGCAACAATCGCAATGCAAATTCAGGGAATTTCCTTAATTTGGACAGCTGCTCAGTACTTGACGGTTAGTGGCCAGTAGTGAATAGATGTGTAAAGACAAAGTAATATCATGACATCTCATTGTCTTAGCTTGTAACTTGTACAATATTTGATTTTGGATCACAGGTAGAATACACAACCAAATGAGCCAGCTATATAAAACATTTTGAACACCTGAAAGCAATGATCCCTTATTGATGTCACTTGTTAAATCCACTTCAATAATTGTAGATGAAGGAGAGGAGACAGGTTAAATATGGATTTTTTAGCCTTGAGACATTTTTTTTTCATCTTTATTTTAACAGGGAAGACATTGAGACCTAGGTCTCTTTTTTAAATGCGCCCCGTATAACATATACAACAAATATACAAAAACACAGTCATGGGAAGCACAAATAAATCACCCAGAAAACAGTTACATTCCTCCACAAATAAGTCCCCAATCAATATTTTTAATTGCCTGAACATCAAGATGAAATGTATTTTGTTCCAGCAATATGGCGCATAAAAATGTAAAGCAGATTTACCTAGCTCGATGGAGACCCTAGGACAGGGATGGGGAAACTCTAGGTCTCAGGGGCCTGACTGGTGTCACACTTTTGCCCCAGCTAACACACCTGACTCCAATAATCAACTAATCATGCTGTGTTTGCTTGGGATTGGGAAAAAGTGTGACGACTCCAGCCTGAGGACAGGAGTTGCCCATCCCTGCCATAGGAACCTCAAGAGTAACCAATCAAATCAATTTTTATTTGTCACATGCGCTTACTTACAAGCCCTTAACCAACAATGCAGTTCAAGAAATAGAGTTAAGAAAATATTTACTAAATAAACTAAAGTAAAAAAGTAAATAAAAAGTAACACAAAATAACAATAACGAGGCTATGTACAGGGGGTACCGAGTCAATGTGCAGGGGTACAGGTTAGTCGAGGTAATAGCTCCAGACTCTGTCGTAGCTGGCCGTGACCGGGAGACCCATGGGGCGGTGCACAATTGGTCCAGCGTCGTCCAGGGTAGGGGAGGGAATGGCCGGCAGGGATGTAGCTCAGTTGGTAGAGCATGGCGTTTGCAACGCCAGGGTTGTGGGTTCGATTCCCACGGGGGGCCAGTATGAAAAATAAAAAAAATAATGTATGCACTCACTAACTGTAAGTCGCTCTGGATAAGAGCATCTGCTAAATGACTAAAATGTAAATGTAATGTAACTTGTACAATCCTGTGAAAGGGTTAGGCAACTCAGGTGTCTATACTTCAACAGCAAAGTTAGATAATACGGAAGTTTATGCCCTAGCACTATACAGCTGATTCTAATAATCAACAAAATCATAAAGCTTTGTTTTAAGTGCCTTTGAAATGGGGTATGGTAATAGGTGTCAGGCGCACCGGTTTGTGTTAAGAACTGCAATGCTGCTGGGTTTCACACAAAAGTTTCCAATCTGTAGCAAGAATGGACCACAAAAAAGCTGACAGAATTGCTGATTTCTGAAGCTGTTTTGATCAATTATTGCAATATTACATTTTCCCAAAAAAATTATGGATATGTACATAGTCATGAATCTGAGCTTCCATTATGTTGTGTAGCATCTAGATCTAGTCCTACCATGGAACAGATTTATAAAACATTGTGGAACACACTAAGGCACCACATTCCTAGTAGGCCTTGTAAGTTGTGAGACATCACAGATAAAATGTCCCGTTTGGTCACAAGAATCAGGTCAGGCGTTATCATGTGCCTTGGAAGGATTCGTAACTTTCTGTGGACTCTGAAATGAGCTGCGCTATGTTAGAAAATCGTACTGTATTCTTAAAATTAGCATAGTAGGCGTGGCTACCTGGAGAAAGAGCTCGCGAAGATCATTACCGTTCTCCTAGCATCAGGATATTATGCTGGCACAATATGGTGGATAAAAAAATATAAAATAACAGTCCTTTTTGAATGAGTTATCCATATTGCAATGTTTTGAAATGCGGGCTTTTATTTAAGGTTCCCTCATTACCATACAAAGTGACGTCATCATTTGTGCTGCTGGCAGAAGACTACTACTAGCGCAAAGTCTTCCAACACATTGCAGGACAATGTAAACATGTAGCTAGCAGGCGCATAAATAGCTTCTTAAATTGACAGTGTAGTAGGGATATTTGAGTTTTCGTTTTTCAGTAACGCAAACCTGTTCGTATGGCGTATTCATCTCATTGCCTTCACGGTTAGTTGGTTTAAATCGCCATTTACTAGGCTAGGTAATCCCAAAACAGCCAGTTTTGATTCAGTCCGGTATAACATTAGTAACAAATCGAGATGGACTACTTGTTACAGGTGAAGATAGGTGCCCTCGTGGGTTTGTTGCTCCTGACCCTATTTTTCGGATTTATCCCTGCTCGGGTGAAGTGGTTCAGAGAAACCAGTGGGACAGGTACGTTCAGTAGGTAGCCTACAAGTTCTATATTAGCTAGCTAGTTTCATGCTGTAACCCCGTATGCAATTCCACACTTGTGATGTGTTGAACAAACGTTATGCTTGCTTCGTCCCACAACAAGCCAGATGGCTCGTTGCGGAAGCTTCCGTCCTTTCCTTCATCAACCAAACCTAAACTATTCGGTTTCAACAAAATAACGTTTCCCGTCAACGAGTCATATCCAATATCTCTAAGTACAATACTTACGATTCGTGTTGAATGTGTCCTTCACTATCACATAAGCGTTTAAAACACGTTTTTATCCAGTGTGTCCCATTTTCCGCCTGTGTGGGCTGCCATTCTAGACCACGCAGTCACGTGAGAGTAAACTACCACGTAATCTCCCACTTTTACAGGCGGGAATCGGGAGACCCTGGATAAATACATGTTTTAAACGTTTATTCGATAGCGAAGGACACGTTCAACCTGACGAATCTTAAGTATTGTTCCTAGATATATTGGATATGCCTCTGTTTATGGAAGCGTTATTTTGGTGAAACCGAATAGTTAAGTTTTGGTTGATAATGGATGCCAGAGTTAGTTGCGGGACGAAGCAAATCACATGCAAGTGTTTTTGCAATGCCTTCATAAATGTGATCAACATTTGCCTATCAACTTGTTTGCCAAATCCAATCACATGTTTGCTGTGGGCTTGTGTTTATCTTTGTTTCTTCCGTTGGTTTTATAACCGCCAAATTACAATTTACATTCCAATCGAATGTTATTCATTCATTCATTCATAATTTTTAGTAATCTACAAAAGATGTAGCCTAAATCAGAGCTTTAAGGAAAGTTTTTCAAATGTATTTATCCACTACGGATTAGTTTGATTGGTTTATGGTAGTGCAAACCTTTGATTTTAGCGCATAGGTCTACATTTAAAAGAAAGATGCCTCTAAAATAGCTGTGTATAGTTTACCATGGGTTGGAACCGAAATAATACTTTTCCAATGGTGAACAGAACCGTATTTTTTTTTTCTTCTGTTCCACAGTTTCCACAAGAAAAATAAAGTTCTGAACCGGTTCGAAACTCCAAAAAGTAACATATCGTTCCTTTCTGTTCCTTTTTAAACGTTGTTCCTCATATCATTCCTTTTTTAAAAACTTTTTTTTAAATTTAGCTCAACATTAAATTACTTCACCAATAGGTAGAGCAGCTTGCTATGGAGTGGGCAAGCTATATACATGCATTTGACAGACAAGTGTAGTGTATGGTGTGAGATGCAACTGAAATTTCGAGGGTGAGAAGAGCGCTGGGAATCTTGTTCCTATGACATGCATGATCTGAATTAGGCCCACAGAATTATACCTACAGAGGAGCGGCTTCTATGAAGGAACTTTGAATGTCTTTGAACTTCAGAGAGTTGGCTTAACTAACATTGGACCAGAGCTAGCCCTTGATCATGACTCTCAGTTCCATTCCATTACACATAATTCCACCTAGAGTTTTCGAGAGCTCGACCAGAGCTAGCTAGTTTGCTAACAGAGTGGCACCAGAATTAAAATAAAAACACACCTTACATTTACATTTTACATTTTAGTCATTTAGCAGACGCTCTTATCCAGAGCGACTTACAGGAGCAATTAGGGTTAAGTGCCTTGCTCAAGGGCACATTAACGTCATTTAGCAGACGCTCTTAGCCAGAGCGACTCACAAATTGGTGCGTTCACCCTATAGCCAGTGGGATAACCACTTTACAATTTGGGGGGGGGGGGGTTAGAAGGATTACTTTATCCTATCCCAGGTATTCCTTAAAGAGGTGGGGTTTCAAATGTCTCCGGAAGGTGGTGAGTGACTCCGCTGTCCTGGCGTCGTGAGGGAGCTTGTTCCACCATTGGGGTGCCAGAGCAGCGAACAGTTTTGACTGGGCTGAGCGGGAGCTATGCTTCCGCAGAGGAAGGGGAGCCAGCAGGCCAGAGGTGGATGAACGCAATGCCCTCGTTTGGGTGTAGGGACTGATCAGAGCCTGAAGGTACAGAGGTGCCGTTCCCCTCACTGCTCCATAGGCAAGCACCATGGTCTTGTAGCGGATGCAAGCTTCAACTGGAAGCCAGTGGAGTGTGCGGAGGAGGGGGGTGACGTGAGAGAACTTGGGAAGGTTGAACACCAGACGGGCTGCGGCATTCTGGATGAGTTGTAGGGGTTTAATGGCGCAGGCAGGGAGGCCAGCCAACAGCGAGTTGCAGTAGTCCAGACGGGAGATGACAAGTGCCTGGATTAGGACCTGTGCCGCTTCCTGTGTAAGGCAGGGTCGTACTCTCCGAATGTTGTAGAGCATGAACCTGCAGGAGCGGGTCACCGCCTTGATGTTGGCGGAGAACGACAGGGTGTTGTCCAGGGTCACGCCTAGGCTCTTCGCACTCTGGGAGGAGGACACAGCGGAGTTGTCAACCGTGATGGCGAGATCACGGAACGGGCAGTCCTTCCCCGGGAGGAAGAGCAGCTCCGTCTTGCCAGGGTTCAGCTTGAGGTGGTGATCCGTCATCCATACTGATATGTCTGCCAGACATGCAGAGATGCGATTCGCCACCTGGTTATCAGAAGGGGGAAAGGAGAAGATTAGTTGTGTATCGTCAGCGTAGCAATGATAGGAAAGGCCATGTGAGGATATGACAGAGCCAAGTGACTTGGTGTATAGGGAGAAACCTTTTTTTTGTTAATAAATCCAATGTGAAACGCGATAAGTATAGTATCCTTAACTAGCATTGAAAAAGTTAATCCATTATCTAATTAAAAATCTCCCTAATTTCTGAGTCATGTGTGTAAAGTCAGTATCTACAGTAGACTATACTTCGGAGGGAGGGAGGGAGGGGGAAGGGCAGGTAGCCTACACACACACAGGCAAAGATTTTCAGTTGGCAGGCAGGCAGACACTGGAATACTTTTCTGAGTGACAGTGAGGGCTTTGCATAGGCGCTTTTTTGTGGGACTGGAAAAAAATGCTCGGAACTGATTCCTACTTACAAGCAAAAAATCAAACAGGAAGTACCAGTGACGCACTCAATACGGAAGTGGTCAGATGAAGCGGGTGCTAAGCTACAGGACTGTTTCGCTAGCACAAACTCGAATATGTTCCGGGATTCGTCCGATGACATTGAGGAGTATATTACGTCAGTCACCGGCTTCATTAATAAGTGCATCGACGACGTCGTGCCCACAGTGATCGTAGGTACATATCCCAATCAGAAGCCATAGATTAAAGGCAACATCCGCACTGAGTTAAAGTCTCGAGCTGCCAATTGCAAGGACCGGGACATGAATCCAGACGCTTACAAGAATTCCTGCTATGCCCTCCGACGAACCATCCAACAGGCAAAGCATCAATACAGGACTAAGATTGAATCCTACTACACCGGCTCTGATGCTCGTTGGATGTGGCAGGGCTTGCAAACTGTCACGGATTACAAAGGGGAAACCCAGCTGCGAGCTGCCTAGTGACGCGAGCCGACCAGAAGAGCAAATGCCTTCTATGCTCGCTTCGAGGCAAGCAACACTGACCCAAGCATGAGAACACCAGCTGTTCCGGACAACTGTTTGATCACATTCTCTGTAGCCGATGTGAGTAAGCCCTTTAAACAGGTTAACATTCACAACGCCACAGGGCCAGATGGATTGCCAGGACACGTACTCAGAGCATGTGCTGACCAGCTGGCAAGTATCTTCACTAACATTTTCGACCTCTCCCTGACCCAGTCTGTAATACCTACATGTTTCAAGCAGACCACCATAGTCCCTGTGCCCATGAACGCCAAGGTAACCTGCCTAAATGACTACCGCCCCGTAGCACTCACGTCTGTAGCCATGAAGTGCTTTGAAAGGCTGGTAATGGCTCACATCAACACCATCATCCCAGAAACCCTGGACCCACTCCAATTTGCATACCGCCCCAACAGATCCACAGATGACGCAATCTCTATTGCGCTCCACATTGCCCTTTCCCACCTGGACAAAAGGAACACCTACGTGAGAATACTGTTCATTGACTACAGCTCAGCGTTCAACACCATAGTGCCCTCCAAGCTCATCACTAAGCTAAGGACCCTGGGACTAAACACCTCCCTCTGCAACTGGATCCTGGACTTCCTGACGGGCCGCCCCCAGGTGGTAAGGGTAGGCAATAACACATATGCCACGCTGACCCTCAACACAGGGGGCCCTCAGGGGTGAGTGCTTAGTCCCATCCTGTACTCCTTGTTCACCCACGACTGCGTGGCCACGCATGACTCCAACACCATCAAGTTTGCAGATGACACAACGGTGGTAGGCCTGATCACCGACGACAATGAAGCAGCCACCCAAGCCACAGACTGTTCTCTGCTACCGCAATGCAAGTAGTACCGGAGCGCCAAGTCTAGCACCAAAAGGCTCCTTAACAGCTTCTACCCCAAAGCCATAAGACTGCTCAACAGTTAATCAAATGGCTACCCGGACTATTTGCATTGAGCCACTTATTTTATTCTTTTTTTTGCTTTGACTCTTTTGCACAGGCTCGATGTACACCCACACATACGTCACTGACACTCCAACACACACACACACACACGCATGCATATTGACGCCCCACACATCTCTGTTTATTAATACAACAGGCGTGACCTTACTGTGAAATGCAGAGTAAAAAAACAAAACAAAAATGTTTGTTTGCTAAATAGACTAAAGGAAAAATAGTAACACAATAACGGGTACGGGTTAGTCGAGGTAATTGTACATGTATAGTCACCCCTGCACATTGACATGGTACTGGTACCTCTTGTGTATATAGCCTGGTTATTCTTATTTTATTGTGTTAGTTTTTCCTTTTGTCTATTTAGCAAACAACATTTCTTATTATTATAACCAACAATGCAGAGTCATTTTTTTAAGGGCTCATAAGTAAGCAAGGTCTACACCTGTTGTATTCGGCGCATGTGACAAATAAACATTTATTTGAAATAAAATTTTAACCAGTTCCCAAGCTTTTAAAAGAACGGTTCTGTTCCGGAACAGTATAGATCAAATTATTTTGTTATTTTATGGTTTTCGGAACCAGTTCCAACCCCTGTAGCTTACAATGGTGTTCTCTCCAAAAAATTTCTTATTTTGATGGAAAGATAATGTGTGTGTGTGTGTATATATATATATATATATATATATAACATTTGCATAATTGATTTAGGCCTAGATTATCACATTTACTTCATTGATTTCTTAGGATGAGAAATCATTGAGTCTCCTCCAAGGTACAGGAGACAGACTAGAGCAGTGGTATTCAAACTTTTTCACCCATTTTTTCCCAGCCAGAATTTCTGGGGACCCCATTTAATTCTTTCTTTTTTTACTAGAATTTCTCCCGACCTTACCCCACCCAAAATCTAATGACACAACCCTAAAATCAGTAAATTTAGATTTTTACATCAACAAATAACCTTATAAATGAAAAGAAACCAATAAATACATTTACTGATTTTTTTTATTATCTTTCTCATTCCCATACAATAATCAGTACTCCTAAAATTATAATTAAATACAGTTATTGGTGACCCCACTGCAGTTCTCCAGGATCAGAGAGAGAGAGAGAGAGTACTGAATGACACGTTTCTCCAAAACTTTCTTGAAAAGACTTTGAGGTATGTTTGCTCCCGTTTGGAAGGTGTGGCTTGAAGCAATGAGTGATGTATTTAAAGGGCAGTGGCCATGCGGACCATGCTGACAGTGTTCACCAACCCCTAACAATTTTTCAACTGCTCGTTGAGTACAGCACCGTTTCCGTTCAATTGAACGTTCCAGAAAGTAAAAAAAGTACTGAACGCAGCCCTGCTTAGGGTCAGAGGTAAATGTATTAGTGCAAACCGTAGCGCAACATTTGTAGACAGAAATCAAAGCTCTTAACATTGTGAGCAACCATTTAAAAAAGTGTTTTATTAAAAAGGCCTAAAAACAAGTGTTTCTTATTGGACAAGTTCAGGTAGGTCCCTCCAAGTTTCAGCCCATTTGCCTCAGTTTGGTTACTAGTGAATACACCCCTGCTTTTAACTTTCTCTTTAGGCCCAGCAGTCTCTGTATGTCCGGCTGCCAATATATATTATACACATATATATTATCAGGGCATTACTAAAACAATGAAGGACCATAACATTTACAGTGATAAGACTGTTTAATGTGTGCCTAAATTGTATGGGCCATTCCTATCCCTTCAGCAGCATATTAAGACAGCTTTTGCTTTGCTATGGCTGATTTGCTGATGAGTAGTTTTCACTTCTGTGTTTGTGCAATGCTGCTCAATACTTCCTTCAGGTCTCTGCAAGATGATTATCTCAGTTGCTTCTCTCTTTTCCTTTAAGCAGAGGGTGACATTAGGAGCTATCATGGCCGTTTCATTTCAGTGCTCCCTGAGTGTTTGATTGCACTTGTTGATCACTTCCAGTTAAAAAAAAAAAAACAGTTAGTGGTATCTCCATAGGGTGTCTCTTTTCTGACCGGTTAACAGCTGATTTAGACCCATAAGAAAGATTAAATTATCAGTCGTCAGATAATCACACATTATTCATATCACAGCTTATGTCACATTAAGTTAAGGAAATGCATAGTTTCCTTGATTCACAACTTAAGTTAATCAGACAACTTCAGTCAGGTAGCCATGAACTAATCCTTTGAACGGGTTAGGCAACTCCAGTGTGTATACTTCAGCAGCAAAGGTAGATAAGACGGAAGTAGGGCCTTGTAAACAAAAAGGGAGTAATGTAGAGCTCTACGGGTCTTCAGCTAAGTCCAGCCAACCGTTTGATACAGGATGCAGTCATGAGTATCGAAACTGTCACCTGTAACAAAGTGAAGGGCACTATGGTAGATGGCATCCAAAGGTTTAAGAGTAGTAGCAGCTGCACTTTGATAGAATGTGTCACCATAATCAAGAACAGATAAAAAGGTTAGGGTTAGGGTTAAAAAGGTTGACAGAATAATCTGCTTCCTACTGCTTAGAGAAAGGCATGATCTGTTTCTGTAGAAAAAGCCAACTTTAAATCTTAGCTTCTTAACCAGCTCATCTACGTTTCTTTTAAACGTCAAATCCATGTAAATCCAAATACCTAAGTATTTATATGCAGGAACACATTCGATTGGAGAACCATGAGTGAACATGTAGTTCATCTGAAAAATTATTACAAAAGTTTGTATTTCCGTTTTACCTGTATTAAGCACAAGTTTTAAATCGGCAAGGGATTCCTGCATAGCTATAAAATCTGACTGTAGTTTTGACACAGCCAAATCAACAGTTGCGGCAATAGCATACATAATAGTATCAGATTGAGCAATGGTGTTTATATAAATAGTGAAGAGAATAGGTCCCAAAATTGACCCTGTGGTACACCTTGTACTTCAAGAAATTCAGACTTCACCCCATCAATCACGATGGCCTGACTTCTGTCACTAAGATAATCATGAAACCATGAACAGGCGTCAGAGCTCAGGCCTATCGAGGACAACTTATTCAATAAAATAGCATGATCAACAGTATCAAAAGCTTTTGACACGTCCACAAACAAGGCAGCACATTTCATTTCAGTGTCTGACAAGATCAGCATTGACAAGATCATTAACAACTAAAGTGGCTGCTGTAATAGTTTTATGCCCAGGCCTAAACCCTGATTGGTTTACATTCAAAATAAATTTCTCAACTAAAGAGCAAAGTTGTACATTTACAAAGGATTCAATAATCTTAGTTAGACAAGGAAGCCTTGAAATGGGGCAATAATTATTACGATCACTACTATCCCCGCCCTTATCGAGTGGCAGCACGAGCTGATTTCCATATTTTTTACTTTACATACGTTTGGAATATTTCCTGATAATAATGTTAAATAAAAAATGTGGGTTATTGAGCCAACAACGATGGGCGCTGCGCAGGTTAGTATTATGGATTAACTACAATGTTGTTGATCCATCCTCAGTATTCTCCTATCACAGCTATAAAACTCTGTAACTGTTTTTTAAAGTCACCATTGGCCTCATGGTGAAATCCCTGAGCGGTTTCCTTCCTCTCCGGCAACTCAGTTAGGAAGGATGCCTGTATCTTTGTAGTGACTGGGTGTATTGATACACCATCCAAAGTGTAATTAATAACTTCACCATGCTCAAAGGGATATTCAATATCTGATTTTTTTTTTATTACTTTGTTACCCATCTACCAATAGGTGCCCTTCTTTGCGAGGTATTGAAAAAACTCCCTGCTCTTTGTGGTTGAATCTGTATTTGAAATCCACTGCTCGACTGTGTGGGGCACAGAGATGAGGCAGTCATTCATGCCTCCTGTAGCTCAATTGGTAGAGCATGGCGCTTGCAATGCCAGGGTTGTGGGTTCGATTCCCACGGGGGGCCAGTATGAAAAATGTATGCACTCACTAACTGTAAGTCGCTCTGGATAAGAGCGTCTGCTAAAATGACTAAAATGTAAATGTAATTCAAAAATCATGTTAAACACTATTATTGCACATTTTCAGTCCATGCAAGTTATTATGACTTGTTCAGCACATTTGTACTCCTGAAATTATTGATTTAGGCTTGACACGACATAAAGAGGTTGAATGCTTATTGACTCAAGACATTTCAGCTTTTCATTTTTTATGAATTTGTAAAGATTTCCAAAAACATAATTCCAATTTGACATTATGGGATATTGTCAGTGACCCCCCCCAAAAATCTCAATTTAATCTATTTTAAATTCAGGCTATAACAACAACAACAACAATGTGGAAAAAGTCAAGGGGTGTGAATACTTTCTGAAGGCACTGTATATGGCTAGGGTCAGGTATTCTTTATTCTAACCCCACCATCTGACCTGAATAGGAAGAGCTCTGGGTTCATTAACAGCTCACCTGATCAGGGCCCAAAGTTGTTCCTGGTCAGGTCACATGGTCAGGGAAAATCCCAGGGTCTGTCTATGTTGAGCATTAAACAGTAGCGATTTTTATCATGCAGAAACCCATCGGGTGGTCCTGAGTTTCATCAGCTGTTTTGCCGGAGGCGTCTTCCTGGCTGCCTGTCTGTTGGACATCATCCCAGACTACCTGTCAGACATCAATGCTGAGCTGGCCGCACGGAGGGTGGACGTAAGTGTCTTCTGTCTGTCAGCAACATCACAAAGTGTCATTGATGCCTGGCCACACTCATTTTACATTTTAGTCATTTAGCAGACGCTCTTATCCAGAGCGACTTACAGTTAGTGAGTGCATAATTTTTGTTATTTCTTTCATACTGGCCCCCCGTGGGAAATGAACCCACAACCCTGGCGTTGCAAGCGCCATGCTCTACCAACTGAGCTACACGGGGCCAGTATGAACACGGGGCCAGCTACTCCCATCCCCTTTGTAAAATGTCAAAAAGCTATATGACTATCCATGACACAAACCAATGTATTAAGGGATAGTTACAATAGATACAATATAACTAAATTATAACTGTTGTATCTGTAAAACAGTGTTCCCACATGGGGAAATGTGCTAGTTAGTGCAGAAGTTATTATAATTAATCCACAGGTTCATTACCTGGTGATGCGTTAAGGACTACTTACTTATGATCTACACTGCTCAAAAAAATAAAGGGAACACTTAAACAACACAATGTAACTCCAAGTCAATCACACTTCTGTGAAATCAAACTGTCCACTTAGGAAGCAACACTGATTGACAATACATTTCACATGCTGTTGTGCAAATGGAATAGACAACAGGTGGAAATTATAGGCAATTAGCAAGACACCCCCAATAAAGGAGTGGTTTTGCAGGTGGTGACCACAGACCACTTCTCAGTTCCTATGCTTCCTGGCTGATGTTTTGTTCACTTTTGAATGCTGGCGGTGCTTTCACTCTAGTGGTAGCATGAGACGGAGTCTACAACCCACACAAGTGGCTCAGGTAGTGCAGCTCATCCAGGATGGCACATCAATGCGAGCTGTGGCAAGAAGGTTTGCTGTGTCTGTCAGCGTAGTGTCCAGAGCATGGAGGCGCTACCAGGAGACAGGCCAGTACATCAGGAGACGTGTCGGAGGCCGTAGGAGGGCAACAACCCAGCAGCAGGACTGCTACCTCCACCTTTGTGCAAGGAGGAGCAGGAGGAGCACTGCCAGAGCCATGCAAAATGACCTCCAGCAGGCCACAAATGTGCATGTGTCTGCTCAAACGGTCAGAAACAGACTCCATGAGGGTGGTATGAGGGCCCGACGTCCACAGGTGGGGGTTGTGCTTACAGCCCAACACCGTGCAGGACGTTTGGCATTTGCCAGAGAACACCAAGATTGGCAAATTCGCCACTGGCGCCCTGTGCTCTTCACAGATGAAAGCAGGTTCACACTGAGCACGTGACAGACGTGACAGAGTCTGGAGACGCCGTGGAGAACGTTCTGCTGCCTGCAACATCTTCCAGCATGACCGGTTTGGCGGTGGGTCAGTCCATGTGCTCGCCAGAGGTAGCCTGACTGCCATTAGGTACCGAGATGAGATCCTCAGACCCCTTGTGAGACCATATGCTGGTGCGGTTGGCCCTGGGTTCCTCCTAATGCAAGACAATGCTAGACCTCATGTGGCTGGAGTGTGTCAGCAGTTCCTGCAAGAGGAAGGCATTGATGCTATGGACTGGCCCGCCCGTTCACAAGACCTGAATCCAATTGAGCACATCTGGGACATCATGTCTCGCTCCATCCACCAACGCCACGTTGCACCACAGACTGTCCAGGAGTTGGCGGATGCTTTAGTCCTGGTCTGGGAGGAGATCCCTCAGGAGACCATCCGCCACCTCATCAGGAGCATGCCCAGGCGTTGTAGGGAGGTCATACAGGCACGTAGAGGCCACACACACTACTGAGCCTCATTTTGACTTGTTTTAAGGACATTAAATCAAAGTTGGATCAGCCTGTAGTGTGGTTTTCCACTTTAATTTTGAGGGTGACTCCAAATCCAGACCTCCATGGGTTGATAAATTTGATTTCCATTGATAATTTTTGTGTGATTTTGTTGTCAGCACATTCAACTATGTAAAGAAAAAAGTATTTAATAAGATTATTTCATTCATTCAGATCTAGGATGTGTTATTTTAGTGTTCCCTTTATTTTTTTGAGCAATGTATATTCCTAATCCTTGGCGTTTTATTTAAACAGAACTCCTACTTTGGTTGTTTTCACCTCCGTATCTCAAACAGACCAGCTTCCCCCTCCCAGAGTTCGTCATGGCTGCAGGCTTCTTCACTGTGCTCATCATGGAGAGGATCGTTCTGAACTGCAGACAAGATGCCATGCAAGGATCAGACCAGGAGAGAGCACCTCTGATGCAGGCCAAAGGGCACGGCCATGGGCACGGGCAGGGGAGAGCCTCGTCCACCGACCTGGAGGGTAGTGCCCACCACGTCCACATGGACCTCCAGGCCCACTCCTCCTTTCGCTCGTTCATGCTCTTTTTCTCGCTCTCCCTCCATTCTGTGTTCGAGGGCCTGGCCATCGGGCTGCAGACCACAGACTCAAAGGTAGGTGCTGGAGAGCGAGCTGTACTTAAATTGCTCAATAGGTCCATTTGTTTTAGCTCGCCCGGGGCACATATTAGACCTTTCCGTTGGTCCTAAAAGTGAAATATCTGCCCACCTGTGGTACTGGGTCAGCTAAAACAAATGCACTAATACATTTCAAATACATGCCAATACTTTCCAAGTGTATTTTCAAATACATTCCAATAATATTCAACTACTTCTTTCTTCAAATGAAAATACAATTTGTATTATTTATACTGAACAGAAATATAAACGCAACATGCAACAATTTCAAAGATTTTACAGTTCATATAAGGAATTCAGTCAATTTGAAATAAATTAATAAAGCCCTAATCTATGGATTTCACATGACTGGGAATACAGATATGCATCTGTTGGTCACACATGCCTTAAAAAAGATAGGGGCATGGATCAGAAAACCAGTCAGTATCTGGTGTGACCACCATTTGCCTCATGCAGCGCGACATCTCCTTTGCATAGAGTTGGCCTGTGGAATGTTGTCCCTCTCCTCTTCAATGGCTGTGCGAAGTTGCTGGATATTGGCGGGAACTGGAACACACTGTCGTACATGTTGATCCAGAGCATCCCACACATGCTCAATGGGTGACATGTCTGGTGACTATGCAGGCCATGGAAGAACTGGGACATTTTCAGCTTCCAGGAATTGTGTACAGATCCTTGCAACATGGGGCTGTGCATTATCATGCTGAAACTTGAGGTGATGGCGGCGTGTAATGGCACGACAATGGGCTTCAGGATCTAGTCACGGTATGTATCGCTGTGCATTCAAATTGCCATCGATTAAATGCAATTGTGTTCGTTGTGCGTAGCTTATGCCTGCCCATACCATAACCCCACCGCCACCCTGGGGCAGTCTGTTTACAACGTTGACATCAGCAAACCGCTCGCCCACACAACGCCATACAAGTGGTCTGCGGTTGTGAGGCCAGTTGGACGTACTGTCAAATTCTGCTCTGGTGGACATTCCTGCAGTCAGCATGCCAATTGCATGCTCCCTCAAAACTTGATACATCTGTGGCATTGTGTTGTGTGACAAAACTGCACCTTTTAGAGTGGCCTTTTATTGTCCCCAGCACAAGGTGCACCTGTGTAATGATCATGCTGTTTAATCAGCTTCTTGATATGCCACACCTGTCAGGTTGATGGGTTATCTTGGCAAAGGAGAAATGCTCACTAACAGGGATGTAAACAAATTTGTGCACAACATTTGAGAGAAATAATATTTTCTGCATATCGAACATTTCTGTGATCTTTTATTTCACCTCATGAAACATAGGACCAACACTTTACATATTGCGTTTATATTTTTGTTCATTGTATATCTAATTTATCTTGTTTGCTTGTAAATGTCCACACTCACTGAAAATGACATTCGGTAGCTACTAGGTATGCTTGTTTAACTTTATGAGCTGGATGTGCCTGTCTTTCCTATTAGTTATGTTAGTTTGTGATTTCACTATTAGTTTGTGCAAATTTAGTTAGCATTCTGGTAGTAGAGGCCCAATGGGCTTTTCTTGCATTTAGCACCCCTTGTGGGCTATACCGGTAATACCGTAAATCACGGGATGTGAGAAGGACGGTATGATGTTATGAAAATCTGGATACCACCTAATTAGCTAATATCAGGCCAGGGTGACCGCTAAAGCACATTTATTGCTTTTGTAGTCTAATAAAAACTGAATGATTCTGAACACTCCCAAGTCCCAACTTCGGCAAACAAGTTTCAAATTCTTGCTGACGTTTCTAGCCACAAGCATAAACTAGCTAGCTGGAGAGCATAAACTAGCTAGCAACATACATCATACATTTTGGGCACCAGGTGTGTCCGTATAGCCACAGATTATCCATTATATTGACCAGATACTCAAGTGGCCGCTCTAGCAATGAAAATACTTGTCTTCAAAGATGGAAGGCAGTTGGAGGAGGCAAGATCAGGTGGGACCATTCTAGCCAATGACAGGGCGTGTGAACAACAGGCACAACTCCAATATAACGTTTTTCTCAAAGATGCCAGTATGTCACGTGTCCTACTTATATCAGTGCACTCGTAACAACCTAAGCATTACAAAACTTATATTAGATCAAATAAGCCTCACAATTTTGTTGACCAAAAACTCCTTGCTTGGTGGTTGAAAAACGCCATCTGCTGGAGAAAATTGATTTTGGGCCTCACAATTAGCCTCTTCCTCTCTGGTATAGCCTCTCCCGAAGTTGGGCCGTGTAAACCGGATGCAACCCGGATATTGGCAGTAGAATGGCCTTACTGAAGAGCTCAGTGACTTTCAACAAGGCACCGTCATAGGATGCAGTCAGTTCGTCAAATTTCTGCCCTACTAGAGCTGCCCCAGTGAACTGTAAGTGCTGTTATTGTGAAGTTGAAACGTCTAGGAGCAACAACGACTCAGCCACAAAGTAGTAGGCCACACAAGTTCAGAGAACGAGACCGCCGTGTGCTGAAGTGCGTAGCATGTAAAAATCGTCTGTCCTCGATTGCAACACTCACTACTGAGTTCCAAACTGCTTCTGGAAGCAACGTTAGCACAAGAACTGTTCGTCGGGAGCTTCATGAAATGGGTTTTCATGGCCGAGCAGCCACACACAAGCCTAAGATCACCATGCGCAATGCCAAGCGTCGGCTGGAGTGGTGTAAATCTTGCCGCCAAATCTGGGTTTGGCAGATGCCAGGGGAACGCTACCTGCCCCAATGCATAGTATTAACTGTAAAGTTTGGTGGAGGAGGAATAATGGTCTGGGGCTGTTTTTCATGGTTCAGGCTTGGCCCCTTAGTTCCAGTGAAGGGAAATCTTAACACTACAGCATACAATGACATTCTAGATGATTCTGTGCTTCCAACTTTGTGGCAACAGTTTGGGAAAGGCCCTTTCCTGTTTCAGCATGACAATGCCCCCGTACAAAAAGCGAGGTCCATACAGAAATGGTTTGTCGAGGTCGGTGTGGAATAACTTGACTGGCCTGCACAGAGCCCTGACCTCAACCCCATCGAACACCTTTGGGAATGAATTGGAACGCCGACTGCGAGCCAGGCCTAATCGCCCAACATAACTGCCCGACCTCACTAATGTTATTGTGGCTGAATGGAAGCAAGTCCCTGCAACAATGTTCCAACATCTAGTGGAAAGCCTTCCCAGAAGAGTGGAGGCTGTTATAGCTGCAAAGGTGGGACCAACTCCATATTAATGCCCATGATTTTGTAATGAGATGTCCACATACTTTTGGTCATGTAGTGTGTCTGTCTAGTTATCTGTTTAGCTATTACAGCACATTTATGTTTTCGTCCAAAAAAAACGTTCCATCGATACAGGGCTGGCTTACCGAACGGGCACGCAGGCCATGTGTCCTGGGGCCTCGACCTCCAGGGGGCCCCCCAACTCCCCCTGGAGGACGGGTGGGTGCCCCACATAACAAAATGTGTAGAATTGCAGGAAATTAGCTTTAAAACTGCAACATTTTCTCTCAGCCTCATGGCATACTGTGAACAAAAGCATAAGATGAGCTATAAAAACAGCAAAAGCAGCTACTCTTCCTGGGGTCCAAACACATTAAGCCATTTACATTACATATAAAACAAGAGATAAAACAGTACAACATATTACATTATTACACCCCTACATATCTGCAATACGAAATGTATAATACCACCATACAACAATGTGCCTGTGTGTAGAGTGCGTGTGCTAGTGTTTGTGTGCGTATGCGTGTCTGTACCTTTGTGTGTGTCTCTTCACAGTCCCCACTGTTCTAAAATGTGTATTTTTATCTGTTTTTTTTTAATCTGATTCTACTGCTTGCATCAGTTACATGATGTGGAATAGAGTTTCATGTAGTCATGGCTCTATGTAGTACTGTGTGCCTCCCATAGTCTGTTCTGGACTTGGGGATTGTGAAGAGACCTCTGGTGGCATGTCTTGTGGGGTATGCATGGGTGTCCGAGCTGTGTGCTGGTAGTTTAAACAGACAGCTCGGTGCATTCAGCTTGTCAACACTTCTTACAAAAACAAGTAGTGATGAAATCAATCTCCTCCAATTTGAGCCATGAGAGATTGACATGCATATCATTAATGTTAGAGCCCTGTGTACATTTTAAGGTTTATCTTAGCCTCATGACAAAATGTATAGAATGGCATTATAAATCTGCAAATGCTTCTCTCTGCATCATGGCAAAATGTGTTGAAATGCAGGAAGTTTGTTTTGAGGTTGGTGCCCCGGGCCCCCAAATGCAGTAGTCCGGCCCTGCATCGACACAGCAAATTAGCCCATACACATTTTTGAACGATTCATATTATTTTTTTGACGAAACAAACGATTAACTTCGCCATTGTATTTGTTGGGATTTTGTTCAATCGCGGTGAATCTAATAATGTGAATAAAAATACAAATGTGTGAACCGCGAACAGTAATGTTAGGAAACAATATTAGATGTAGCCTTTCTTCTGGATTATATGGCTGCAAAACCTTTTGTAGATACTTCCAGTTTATTTGGGCATCCAATGTATGGGACATTGCTACTCAATAGATGATAGTCAGCCTGCAAAGTAAACACTTCTAAAGTAGCGAAGATAAATATGACTAAACTAGAAAAGGTACATTTCTTGAACATTTGTGGACTTGCTTCAGCTGAAGATTTGTAGGCTACCATAGCCATTTGATCTTTTGATCTATTGAATGACCAAATTATTTTATAAAGGCATAGAACGTATTTGGTTGTAATGTTGCAATGTTTTACAAGGGTGGTCAACCATCCTCCAGAAGAACTACTGGGTGTGCAGGCTTTTGTTCCAGTCCTCCTCTAACAAACCACATTTTAGAAATGAGCTGCTCAACCGGACCTTTGTCAACAAACAGCATAACAGAAATATGATGGTAAGTTTTCGAACTACCGGCAGTTTCTTTGAGAAGATAGTGCCTTCGGAAAGTATTCAGACCCCTTGACTTTTTCCACATTTTGTTACGTTACAGCCTTATTCTAAAATTGATTAAATACGACAAAGCGAAGACAGGTTTGTAGAAATCTTTACAAATGTATTAAAATCTTAAAACAGAGACCCGAAATTGAGCTCAGGTGCATCCTATTTCCATTGATCATCGTTGAGATGTTTCTACAACTTGATTGGTGTCCACCTGTGGTAAATTCAATTGATTGGACATGATTTGGAGAGGCACACACCTGTCTATATAAGGTCCCACAGGTGACAGTGCATGTCAGAGCAAAAACCAAGCCATGAGGTCGAAGGAATTGTCCGTGGAGCTCTGAGACAGGATTGTGTCAAGGCACAGATCTGGGGAAGGGTACAATAAAATGTCTGCAGCATTGAAGGTCCCCAAGAACACAGTGGCCTCCATCATTCTTAAATGGAAGACGTTTGGACCCACCAAGACTCTTCCTAGAGCTGGCCACCCGGTCAAACTGAGCAATCGGGGTAGAAAGGCCTTGGTCAGGGAGGTGAACAACAACCCCGATGGTCACTCTGACAGAGCTCTAGAGTTCCTCTGTGGAGATGGGAGAACCTTCCAGAAGGACAGCCATCTCTGCAGCACTCCACTAATCAGGCCTTTATGGTAGAGTGGCCAGACAGAAGCCACTCCTCTGTAAAAGGCACATGACAACCCACTTGGAGATTGCCAAAAGGCACCTAAAGACTCTCAGACCATGAGGTCTGATGAATCCAAGATTAAACTCTTTGGCCTGAATGCCAAGCATCACATCTGGAGGATACCTGGCACCATCCCTACGGTGAAGCATGGTGGTGGCAGCATCATGCTGTGGGGATGTTTTTCAGCGGCAGGGACTGGGAAACTAGTCAGAATCGAGGCAAAGATGAACGGAGTAAAGTACAGAGAGATCCTTGATGAAAACCTACTCCAGAGCCCTCAGGGCCTCAGACAGGGGCGAAGGTTCACCTTCCAACAGGACAACGACCCTAAGCACACAGCCAAGACGACGCAGGAGTGGCTTCGGGACAAGTCTCTGAACGTCCTTGAGTGGCCCAGCCAGAACCCGGACTTGAACCCGATCGAACATCTCTGGAGAGACCTGAAAATAACTGTGCAGCAACACTCCCCATCCAACCTGATAGAGCTTGAGAGGATCTGCAGAGAAAAATGGGAGAAACTCCCCAAATGAAGGTGTGCCAAGCATGTAGCATCACACCCAAGAAGACTCGATGCTGTAATTGCTGCCAAAGGTGCTTCAACAAAGTACTGAGTAAAGGGTCTGAATACTTATGTAAATGTGATATTTCAATTTTTTATTTGTAATATTTATTTGTAATATCTCCCGAGTGGCGCAGTGGTCTAAGGCACTGCATCGCAGTGCTAGCTGTGCCACTAGAGATCCTGGTTCGAATCGTCTAGGGTAGGGGAGGGAATGTCCGGTAGGGAGGTAGCTCAGTTGTTAGAGCATGGCGTTTGCAATGCCAGGGTTGTGGGTTCGATTCCCACGGGGGGCCAGTATATATATATATATATATATATATATATATATCTATATCTATATCTATATATCTATATCTATATCTATATCTATATCTATATCTATATATATATATATATATATATATATATTTTTTTTTTTAAGTAAAAAAACAAAACATGTATGCACTAACTGTAAGTCGCTCTGGATAAGAGCGTCTGCTAAATGATGTAAATGTAATAAATTAGCAAAAATATCCACAATTTTTTTGTTTTTGCTTTGTCATTATGGGGTATTGTGTGTCGATTGAGGAAAATAAACAATTTAATCAATTTTAGAATAAGGCTGTAATGTAACAATGTGGAAAAAGTCAAGGGGTCTGAATACTTTCCGAAGGCACTCTGCGCATTTGAATAAATACACCCATTTCACTTTTGCATGTAAAAAAACGAATGACCACTGCTGCACATGCTGCCACTGTTTCGAACAGATTAGATTATACTATTTAGAAAGAGCAGCAAGCTGACGATCGAACGAGTGCACCATGGAGAACACAACAAGCATGCAGATGCAATAAGTGAAAATACATTATCTAAATACCGGTAGTTTCTTTTGAAGATATATAAAGTGATCTGTGCATTTGAACAACCTCATAAATACACCTATTTCATGCTTTGAGGTCCCGAGGGCAATTCAGACAGCTGACAGAGGATTTTTATAATGAAGAATGTTTTAATTGACTGTTTTGTATCTTAATGTGTATATTGTCTATATATTTATGTTGATCTATACTTGTATGTGCCTGTTTTTGAATTGTGCAGGGCTCATTTGTAAAAGAGACTTTAGTCTCAACATGACTCCGCTGTTGAAATTAAAGGTAAACAATAATAAAAACTAGAGATGTCTAAAATGTCACAAAGCATGATACGCTAGCCAGTTAACTTTCATTCTGAAATAACTTCATATTTACGAGTTATTCACAGATAGGTTTAGATAGACTTTTAGGATGTTCACCCATAAAATGATTAAACCATTAAAGGTTTATTCAAATACGTCCAATAAAAACAAATAGTCCAAACCCCATGTCTACCCCGATTTACTCTGAGAATTTAGCATGTTTGGAGTGAATGGAATGTAAAGTGGTCACTGCTCAATACAACTCTGTGACACTGTTCTGCGGCAGAACAGCGCAAACTTCGAACGGCAACTGACAAGCTAACTAGTGGCTGTAGGTTCGTCAGTGAAAAACATGGGCTTTTTCTAAATGAAATCTGCTGAATACAAAACGAAATAGGGACTAAGTATGTATGTATGTATGTATGTATGTAATGTATGTAATGTATGTAATGTATGTATGTATGTATGTATGTATGTATGTATGTATGTATGTATGTATGTATGTATGTATGTATGTATGTATGTATGTATGTATGTATGTATGTATGTATGTATGTATGTATGTATGTATGTATGTATGTATGTATGTATGTATGTATGTATGTATGTATGTATGTACGGTGGGGGAAAAAAGTATTTAGTCAGCCACCAATTGTGCAAGTTCTCCCACTTAAAAAGATGAGAGAGGCCTGTAATTTTCATCATAGGTACACGTCAACTATGACAGACAAAATGAGAAAAAATGGGATTTTCTCCCAGAAAATCACATTGTAGGATTTTTAATGAATTTATTTGCAAATGATGGTGGAAAATAAGTATTTGTTCAATAACAAAAGTTTCTCAATACTTTGTTATATACCCTTTGTTGGCAATGACACAGGTCAAACGTTTTCTGTAAGTCTTCACAAGGTTTTCACACACTGTTGCTGGTATTTTGGCCCATTCCTCCATGCAGATCTCTAGAGCAGTGATGTTTTGGGGCTGTCACTGGGCAACACAGACTTTCAACTCCCTCCAAAGATTTTCTATGGGGTTGAGATCTGGAGACTGGCCAGGCCACTCCAGGACCTTGAAATGCTTCTTACGAAGCCACTCCTTCGTTGCCCGGGCGGTGTGTTTGGGATCATTGTCATGCTGAAAGACCCAGCCACGTTTCATCTTCAATGCCCTTGCTGATGGAAGGAGGTTTTCACTCAAAATCTCACGATACATGGCCCCATTCATTCTTTCCTTTACACGGATCAGTCGTCCTGGTCCCTTTGCAGAAAAACAGCCCCAAAGCATGATGTTTCCACCCCCATGCTTCACAGTAGGTATGGTGTTCTTTGGATGCAACTCAGCATTATTTGTCCTCCAAACACGACGAGTTGAGTTTTTACCAAAAAGTTATATTTTGGTTTCATCTGACCATATGACATTCTCCCAATCCTCTTCTGGATCATCCAAATGCACTCTAGCTAACTTCAGACGGGCCTGGACATGTACTGGCTTAAGCAGGGGGACACGTCTGGCACTGCAGGATTTGAGTCCCTGGCGGCGTAGTGTGTTACTGATGGTAGGCTTTGTTACTTTGGTCCCAGCTCTCTGCAGGTCATTCACTAGGTCCCCCTGTGTGGTTCTGGGATTTTTGCTCACCGTTCTTGTGATCATTTTGACCCCACGGGGTGAGATCTTGCGAGGAGCCCCAGATCGAGGGAGATTATCAGTGGTCTTGTATGTCTTCCATTTCCTAATAATTGCTCCCACAGTTGATGTCTTCAAACCAAGCTGCTTACCTATTGCAGATTCAGTCTTCCCAGCCTGGTGCAGGTCTACAATTTTGTTTCTGGTGTCCTTTGACAGCTCTTTGGTCTTGGCCATAGTGGAGTTTGGAGTTTGACTGTTTGAGGTTGTGGACAGGTGTCTTTTATACTGATAACAAGTTCAAACAGGTGCCATTAATACAGGTAACGAGTGGAGGACAGAGGAGCCTCTTAAAGAAGAAGTTACAGGTCTGTGAGAGCCAGAAATCTTGCTTGTTTGTAGGTGACCAAATACTTATTTTCCACCATAATTTGCAAATAAATTCATTAAAAATCCTACAATGTGATTTTCTGGATTTTTTCTGTGTAAAGGAAAGAATGAATGGGGCCATGTATCGTGAGATTTTGAGTGAAAACCTCCTTCCATCAGCAAGGGCATTGAAGATGAAACGTGGCTGGGTCTTTCAGCATGACAATGATCCCAAACACACCGCCCGGGCAACGAAGGAGTGGCTTCGTAAGAAGCATTTCAAGGTCCTGGAGTGGCCTAGCCAGTCTCCAGATCTCAACCCCATAGAAAATCTTTGGAGGGAGTTGAAAGTCTGTATTGCCCAGCGACAGCCCCAAAACATCACTGCTCTAGAGGAGATCTGCATGGAGGAATGGGCCAAAATACCAGCAACAGTGTGTGAAAACCTTGTGAAGACTTACAGAAAATGTTTGACCTGTGTCATTGCCAACAAAGGGTATATAACAAAGTATTGAGAAACTTTTGTTATTGAACAAATACTTATTTTCCACCATCATTTGCAAATAAATTCATTAAAAATCCTACAATGTGATTTTCTGTTTTTTTTCTTCTCATTTGTCTGTCATAGTTGACGTGTACCTATGATGAAAAGTACAGGCCTCTCTCATCTTTTTAAGTGGGAGAACTTGCACAATTGGTGGCTGACTAAATACTTTTTTTCCCCACTGTATGTGTGTGTGTGTGTGTGTGTGTGTGTGTGTGTGTGTGTGTATTAGCAAAGCTAACAGACTGAATTTCAATTTCCACCCTCCGCGAAGACAATCTGTTCCTGTTTTCATTGTGTATTTCTGAGGCTTTCCCTTTAAATCACCGTTGATTGGCAATATAGCCAATGAAAGCCAAGGATCTGAAGATAAAAATGACAAGGGTATCAAGTTGATTTTGATTTGTCCAACCTGCGGCAACACCTCCAAATGGTACCACCTCCCTACGCCAAATATGGAAGATACAACCAAGAGCGGCGCGTTCTAAACTAGCAACGGTCACAGCAAATTAACGTTCTTATTTCATCAGCACTGTCAAGTACAAGTATATTAAGGTTATAATATTGTAGAGAAGAATCTAATGATTAAGTATGTGCTGTATAATGACATGGGGCAAATAACTTAATTTCGTAGCACCCTTTTGAGTTGGCCCATTTTTCTCTAAATTCTACAAACTATAGACTTGAAATTGAAATGGGAGCTAATTAGCTAGCAAGCTACCAGCTAGCTGCTTATCAAAGGTAGATAACTGGTTTATTTGACCAAGACATCTACCAAACTATTTCCTAATATTTCTCAAAATTACTGTAGCTGGCTAATTAATTTTATCATGCTTTGTGATTTGAAGGTCTCAGAAATCAATAATGAAGAAAGATCAGGATGGCTTCCAGAGTATGAGATGTTTTATTGACAAAGACAAGCAGAGACATAACAGGCATCGAAGCAGAAAGACCTGACAGGGCGCACAGGCGAAAACTCTAGTACAGATGTCAAGTACATTTTCTCAAAGCCTTACTTCCTTGTTCATCTCTGTTTTATACCTGGTTTTGCGTCATAATGTGCCTTGCAGTAATTGGTCACAGTAATCAAATTCAACATATCACAACAGCTTGAGTGTAGAGTTTTTCAATAAACCGGTAGACCCTATTTGGCTAAGCTTCCAGGTGACGAACTTAATCATTATATCAGTATTGTGGACATGAGACTACAGATACAAGTAGCAAATTTGGGGCTGGAGTGTACAACAAGGCCTTCTCTCTCTCGACCTTGGGGGGAAACCCTCCTTATCTTAGACTCAATGGATTCTTAAAAATATTTAATACGTTTCAGAAACCACCTGCAGGATGACCCCATATTCTATGAGAAAGTATTTTGTTTTTTATATGCCCGTTGGACATCACTGCCCACTTGAGATTACAAACTAAACACACATAGGCATGTTTTAGATATGTTGAGAATGACAAATCATTATGATGTATTGCTATGTGTCTATTGCAAATCACTATGAACCTGCCTCTGTCTAAACCTTCATTACATTCAATGGCAGCAGGAGCACCTATGACCTCCTTGGCCCAACAGTGATACACCCGGTTTTATGCTGTTTTAGTGCGCACAACATGTCGCCCTGTCACCTACAGTAGAACATGATAAACACCATGGGGGAAACAATCAAATTGGCCAGTCACAGTCATGCTTTTTTGTCCTACCAGATCCGCGATCAGAAAGTTCTAGCTAGTGTATCCCTCTGTCCTTCGACTGTCCTACAATTTTGCTTTTTGCTTCAGCACCATCTGTATCTGATAGAGCAGATCTAGTCTCATGTGTGGAAGTAAGCCGTCTGGTGCGAGAGACTCATTGGGAGGGAGACTAGAGCCAGAAAGGAAGAGGTGAAGCGACCAATGCGTTTCTATGGGCTTATTTTGGACCTAAGCTTGTCGCCTGCCTTCCCGCCTTTGGGACAACAACTCCCATTGTTAGGGCGGAGACATGAGCATCTCGTCATTGTATGTACTGCTAGAGCATACCCAGAAGTTCTGACTGAGCGCACATTTGAGCTCCCCCAGGACAGTCCATTTACTTTGTGCTGTTAATTTATGCTATTTACTTTTAATCCGTCTGTCTGCATATTTCAAGACATGGCATATGGGGGTGTAGTGAGATAGCCAATGGGCTGGACAATTCTCTTCTCATCACCCGTCTTGACAAAAACGTATACTAAAAATGTGGAAATTAATCAATCCGCCATCATTAACACAATGGAAGAATATAAATAATTTATTTAAATGGCATGGTCGACCGAGGAAAAACAAATTGGTACAATTTAAGGCCAAGTGGCAAACAATAATGCAGGCACTAGGGATGGGGGTGTGAACATGCGGGTCTGGGCAGATGAGATGTAGTCATTGTTTGTGTGTGTGTCTGTAAGTTGTTATTTGTATGTATAAGTTTGTATCTGGAGTAAAAAAAACAATCACAAGTGTGGCCCCGCCCCTAACACCCTAATGGGCCACTGGAAAACAGCCCTAATGTTCGAAACAAACATCATTATGTTGTCATCCAGAATCACATTTATTTATTTTCCAAGCTATAGCTAACAATATTTTACATGCAGTAGGTTTTTAAAGGACCAAAGAGTTTGGTCTGCTTCATGTTTTAATTTTTGCCATGGAAAACATATTGCTATCCTCACAGCCCTACTCATAATGGGCCCAATTCCGATTTAGGAAATTACGCCTTTCCTATGTATTTCTCAGTAGTTAGTATTCAGACTTACCTTGTGCAGGTGCGTACGGGGTTTGCAGGTGTGGTTCCCTTACACGTGCTGAACAAATGTAATTAAACTGCTGAAAACCCTCCTACTTACTGGCCAACATATTTTCTCGTGGAGTTTTCATTCAATAGGGTTTTCAGTACATTTATCTTAAGCTATCCCTTTAAATACGATGTACCTTTTTTAGTTAGAATTTTGTCCACAGACTCACTCAATTTTTTTTTATAGAGAATTGGTTCAGAATATTATGGATCATGAAAGAAAGCTTTCTAATAAGCATATTTGTCTCAGTTTCAGCACCAATTGGTCAATAAAATAAATACTCTGATCTTGTAGATTATTTAGGGTTAGGAAAGTATTTATAAATCATAAACTGGTAAAGAGAGCCTTTATGCACGAAAGAAAGAACTGTGTTTTGATTCATTCTGAAAATTGCCACATTCAGTTCTTCAACCATGGTAATGTTGGAAGATTAGTGTACATATAATTATAATAGGGAGAATAGTGTAAGCTATACCCTCGTCTATTGCCTACACTAACCATGAAACTGTGACTATACAGCCAAGTATTGCGCCATGCGTCGGGATCAAACTGAGCTCCGCTCCATAACGATTTAATTAGCCTACATGTATTTTTTTTTTAAATAAATATTATCAACTGTTACTAATGATCCTCAGCAACAACCACATGGCCGTGATGCTGTTGACAGAGGAAGCAAATGTAGGTAAACAAAACGATGTTATTAAATGGAATGATAATGTAGGCTGTACCAACTGAAGGGAACTAAAAGTAAATTGGCAGTTCAATATGTGTGGTTGTTAGGCCTACTGACGGTCGATTCTGATTGTGGCTAATATTTAACATGATAGAAATAGGAAACAGAGAAAGTCGGGGTAGCCTATAATTAATACATTCGAGAGTGCCCATCCCTGCAAGTTAAAAGGCTGTACAATTTAAATTCTGCATAATGGCACAGCATTTCATAAACAATACTGTGGGAAAGTTTATATGCTTCAGTTTGCTGCCATATGATTGGTTTCACATTTGTCTCCAGCGATTTATAAGGTAAAATATATCTAAAACAAGTGTCATTTATATTTAGAATTCCCTTATCCAAACGAGTTACTCATTTACCTAGCTTTTATCAATAGCTCTTTCCAAGTTGTAAATTACAGTGCAGGGAGAATGGTGTTATTTCTATCGGGGGAAAAAATAAAGTAGATGTTTCTAACCCCTGCTTTTCATGTGATGTGCTCTTGGACTTTATCTAAACGTACAGTTCTCCTTTGCACTGTATTGTCCTTTGTTGGTATTCAGGGAAGTCTCTTTCCATCACAAAAGCATAGTGAAAGTTATTGCTGTGCTTAGAAAGAGAAAGCCCTAGGACAACTCTTTCCAATCACCCGTAGTGTCAGGAGGTTTAGAGTTCCTTGTTCATTTATGCAATGTAGAGAGGCAGAGGGAAGCGAGACACATACATGATTTCCATGCACTTTCTCTCACATCCTCAGTATAACATCACTCACACAGCATGCACCATGTCAATGGAATCTAATGCAAGAGATATTTTACTAAGTCAATACACTATAAAGACATGCAAGTTTCTGACAAAACAGATGGCCTGGGTTGTGAACTTAATTTGATATTAGACTACTTTTGAGGTCTGAAAACATCTGAATACTTTAAACTTTGCAGTATAATGTCGTTTTTAAACTGCTTTCTCTGGTTGATCAAATACCCTTATCTGGCTTGAAGTGACAGAGCTATTTAGGCTAACCTGTTTATAGACTTTTCAAAGAATTATAAATGACGTGTAATTTATACAGCAGTCATTTATACAGCTTGTGTTTATTATACAGCTTTCTTCATCTTATTGCGATGAAGAAAGAGAAAGGAAGTAGGAGAGGAATTTAACCTCATTTGATCTCGTTTTCTCTCCATCCTATCCAGGTATTAGAGATCTGCATCGCCATTGTGGTCCACAAGAGCATCATCGTGTTCAGCCTATCGGTGAAGCTGGTGCAGAGCGCGGTCCCGCCCATGTGGGTTGCGGCCTACGTGGGCGTCTTCGCCATGATGTCTCCGCTGGGCATCGCAGTGGGCATCGGGGTTATCGAGGCCCAGCTAGCGGCAGGCGTTTTGATCCAGGCCATCCTGGAGGGGCTGGCGGCCGGGACCTTTATTTACATCACCTTCATGGAGATCCTGCCTCACGAGCTGAACTCCCCGGAGAACCAGCTGCTCAAGGTGTTCTTCATCCTGCTGGGCTTCAGCGTTATGGCGGGCCTCACCTTCCTGGGCTGAGAGGATGTCACCCACTGGAGCAACTGACCTAGCAGGAATATGGGTGTGGCTCATATGAATCATGGGACTTGATGTTGTGTACTAGGGTCGCAATAAGGAGAGGTGTCTCAGGGAGACGGCCAACATAAAACCGGTCCCGTTTTACTGCAGGGTTGGTGCAGGGGAGATTACAGTGCCCATGTCTGGCTGTGCCCATGTGCCACTTTTATTTAAGGGTCACAGCTGTTCTTACTCTGTATTTTTTGTTTTTAAGGGTGTGATACTCATTGGTATTTTTTATCCTGCTTTTAGCATAGATTTTAATTTCACAGCCAAGGATGGTAAGACAGTCTTTCATTTAAGAACTTTTAATGATTTCAAATCGATTATATTTAGTTAGATACTTCTTTTTAATTTGATTGTTTTAGCACTGGGAAAATAATAAGCACACAGAATGTATTGGTTGTTTATCCTGTGGTATACATACCAGTGGTTGGTTATCTTTCTTTTAAAGTATCTATTTTTTAACAATCGCTGTTTGTAACCTTTTGCACATAACTGAAGATCACTGAAAAAAGAGCTGTTGGAACTGACATCATGATTGCCTGGTCTCTTTGGCAATTGATGGGTGGCAAGGAGTGGAATGTTAGCTAAAAAGACTGGTACCCAGACTAACATGATATCTCTTAATAGTCAAATTAATCCGTCGCATCAATATCTCATTATGTATACAGGGTCAAATGTAAATTGCATCATGTTTACCCTTTTGGATGTGTGCCCAATGTGAGCACTATTTTGGAGCCTCCACAGTTAAGTTGAAGTATTAAATGCTTTATCGCCATTGTGGAACAAATTGTTTTCACCTTGAGAACGATACTATGCCTTACAAATTAATAAAGAAGATGTTTTATTGTCACACAGCGGATAGGTGCAGTGAAATGTGTTTTACAGGGTCAGCCATAGTAGTACGGTGCCCCTGGAGCAAATTAGGGTTAAGTGCCTTGCTCAAGGGCACATTGACAGATTTTTCACCTTGTCGGCTAATATGCAAAGACAAAACATTGTGATTAACACAGTGTTGTCTGTAAAATCAACAGAAGTGTTAAATGTACCTAAGTATATCAATGTTAAATGTCTACCATTTATTATTTTACATGTGAGATACTTGAATGATTTGTATGGAGAGATACTTCTTGTCCTTCAGCGTTAAAACACCATCTTGGTATAAGTAATGTTTTCCCAGAGTTTTTACCTCATGTCATCACTTTGTGTGGAGGCATCATTCATTTCGTAATCGACATGATGCAATTGAGAGAGTGTATTGTCAGTGCCACATCACGAGTTTGATACAGAGCAATAGTCCGGTTGCTTTTTGGAGAACAATATATTTAGAGAGATTAAGAAGTTCAAGCACGTGTTTTCCTGACTCGGTTCGTCATTGTGTTGATAGTTTCCCTACCCCAGCCATGAGTCATGTTTCTGTTGTTAACAAGGCTTCAAGTTTATAACAACACTATCTCAAGTGGCCCTGAGCTTCCTCTTACTGCTCCATTCTCCTCTCTGACACTGTTGCAGTAAAATAATGATTAAACAAGTTGGCTATGATTTGTTTAAAGTGTGTGTCTATTGTGTATGCTTTTGGAATATGCTCCCATCACGATTACTAAGAGAAGCATGATGGGTTTTTATTTTTAGGAGGAGGGTAGGCTGGAGGGGTTGAGATTCAGTGATGTTCAGCCTGTGACTTGTCCTGAAATAACTGGGGATGGTCTGACTAAGGCTGCGTTTACACAGGCTGCCCAAATCTAATATTTTGCCCAATTATACAGTGCATTCGGTAAGTATTCAGACCCCTGGACTTTTTCCACTTTGTTACGTTACAGCCTTATTCTAAAATTGATGAAATACAGTGGCTTGCGAAAGTATTCACCCCCCTTGGCATTTTTCCTATTATGTTGCCTTACAGCCTGGAATTAAAATTTATTTTTTTGGGGGGGTTTGTATCATTCGATTTTCACAACATGCCTGCCACTTTGAAGATGCAAAATATTTTTTCTTGTGAAACAAACAAGAAATAAGACAAAAAGACAGAAAACTTGAGCGTGCATAACTATTCACCCCCCCCCCCCCCCCCTGTATTTAGCGCCATCCATCATTCATTCAATTCTAACCAGTTTCCCAGTCCCTGCCAATGAAAAGCATCCCCACAGCATGATGCTGCCACCACCATGCTTCACTGTGGGGATGGTGTTCTCGGGGTGATGAGAGGTGTTGGGTTTGCGCCAGACATAGCGTTTTCCTTGATGGCCAAAAAGCTCAATTTTAGTCTCATCTGACCAGAGTACCTTCTTCCATATGTGTGGGGAGTCTCCCACATGCCTTTTGGCGAACACCAAACGTGTTTGCTTATTTTTTTCATTAAGCAATGGCGTTTTTCTGGCCACTCTTCCGTAAAGCCCAGCTCTTTGGAGTGAACGGCTTAAAGTGGTCCTATGGACATATACTCCAATCTCCGCTGTGGAGCTTTGCAGCTGCTTCAGGGTTATTTTTGGTCTGTTTGTTGCCTCTCTGATTAATGCCCTCCTTGCCTGGTCCGTGAGTTTTGGTGGGCAGCCCTCTCTTGGCAGGTTTGTTGTGGTGCCATATTCTTTCAATTTTTTAATAATGGATTTAATGGTGCTCCTTCGGATGTTCAAAGTTTCAGATATTTTTTTTATAACCCAACCCTGATCTGTACTTCTCCACAACTTTGTCCCTGACCTGTTTGGAGAACTCCTTGGTCTTCATGGTGCCACTTGCTTGGTGGTGCCCCTTGCTTAGTGGTGTTGCAGACTCTGGGGCCTTTCAGAACAGGTGTATATATACTCAGATCATGTGACACTTAGATTGCACACAGGTGGACTTTATTTAACTAATTATTTGACTTCTGAAGGTAATTGGTTGCACCAGATCTTATTTAGGGGCTTCATAGCAAAGGGGGTGAATAAATATGCAAGCACCACTTTTCCGTGATTTATTTTTTCAAATTTTTTGAAACTGGTTATTTTTTTCATTTCACTTCACCAATTTGGACTATTTTGTGTATGTCCATTGCATGAAATAAAAATAAAAATCCATTTAAATTACAGGTTGTAATGCAACAAAATAGGAAAAACGCCAAGGGGGATGAATACCTTTGCAAGGCACTGTAGCTTATTTTCTTAATCAATCTACCGCATGATGACAAAGCAAAAATAGGTTAAGAAATGTTTGCAAATGTATAATAAAAAATTAAACTGAAATATCACATTTACATAAGTATTCAGACCCTTTACTCAGTACTTTGTTGAAGCACCTTTGGCAGCGATTACAGCCTTGAGTCTTCTTGGGTATGACGCTACAAGCTTGGCACACCTGTATTTGGGGAGTTTCTCCCATTCTTCTCTGCAGATGCTCTCAAGCTCTGTCAGGTTCGATGGGGACTGTCGCTGCACAGCTATTTTCAGGTCTCTCCAGAGATGTTCGATCTGGTTCAAGTCTGGTCTCTGATGGGCCACTCAAGGACATTCAAAGACTTGTCCCGAAGCCTTACCTGAGTTGTCTTGGCTGTGTGCTTAGGGTCGTTGGAAGGTGAACTTTCGCCCAGTCTGAGGTACTGAGCGCTTTGGAGCAGGTTTTCATCAAGGATCTCTCTGTACTTTGCTCCATTCATCTTTCCTTTGATCCCTAGTCCCTGCCACTGAAAGACTTCCCAAAAGCATGATGCTGCCACCACCATGCTTCACCGTAGGGATGGTGCCAGGTTTCCTCCGGACGTGACGCTTGGCATTCAGGCCAAAGAGTTCAATCTTGGTTTCATCTGACCAGAGAATCTTGTTTCTCATGGTCTGAGATTCTTTAGGTACCTTTTGGCAAACTCCAAGTGGGCTGTCATGTGCCTTTTACTGAGGAGTGGCTTTCGTCTGGCCACTCTACCATAAAGGCCTGATTTGTGGAGTGCTGCAGAGATGGTTGTCCTTCTGGAAGGTTCTCCGATTTCCACAGAGGAACTCTGGAGCTCTGTCAGAGTGACCATTGGGTTCATGGTCACCTCCCTGACCAAGGCCCTTCTCCCCCGATTGCTCAGTTTGGCCGGGTGGCCAGCTCTAGGAAGGGTCTTGGTGGTTCCAAACTTCTTCCATTTAATAATAATGATGGAGGCCACTGTGTTCTTGGGGACCTTCAATGCTGCAGAATTTTTTTCTCTATGCCTCAACACAATCCTGTCTCGGAGCTCTACGGACAATTCCTTCGACCTCATGGCTTGGTTTTTGCTCTGACATTCACTGTCAACTGTGGGACCTTATATACAGTGGGGAAAAATAAAGGGAACACTAAAATAACACATCCTAGATATGAATGAATGAAATAATCTTATTAAATACTTTTTTCTTTGCATAGTTGAATGTGCTGACAACAAAATCACACAAAAATTATCAATGGAAATCAAATTTATCAACCCATGGAGGTCTGGATTTGGAGTCACACTCAAAACCACACAACAGGCTGATCCAACTTTGATGTAATGTCCTTAAAACAAGTCAAAATGAGTCTCAGTAGTGTGTGTGGCCTCCACGTGCCTGTATGACCTCCCTACAACGCCTGGGCATGCTCCTAATGAGGTGGCGGATGGTCTCCTGAGGGATCTCCTCCCAGACCTGGACTAAAGCATCCGCCAACTCCTGGACAGTCTGTGGTGCAACGTGACGTTGGTGGATGGAGCGAGACATGATGTCCCAGATGTGCTCAATTGGATTCAGGTCTGGGGAACGGGCGGGCCAGTCCATAGCATCAATGCTTTCCTCTTGCAGGAACTGCTGACACACTCCAGCGACATGAGGTCTAGCATTGTCTTGCATTAGGAGGAACCCAGGGCCAACCGCACCAGCATATGGTCTCACAAGGGGTCTGAGGATCTCATCTCGGTACCTAATGGCAGTCAGGCTACCTCTGGCGAGCACATGGAGGTCCGTGCGGCCCCCCAAAGAAATACCACCCCACACCATGACTGACCTACCGCCAAACCGGTCATGCTGGAGGATGTTGCAGGCAGCAGAACGTTCTCCACGGCGTCTCCAGACTCTGTCACGTCTGTCACGTGCTCAGTGTGAACCTGCTTTCATCTGTGAAGAGCACAGGGCGCCAGTGGCGAATTTGCCAATCTTGGTGTTCTCTGGCAAATGCCAAACGTCCTGCACGGTGTTGGGCTGTAAGCACAACCCCCACCTGTGGACGTCGGGCCCTCATACCACCCTCATGGAGTCTGTTTCTGACCGTTTGAGCAGACACATGCACATTTGTGGCCTGCTGGAGGTCATTTTGCAGGGCTCTGGCAGTGCTCCTCCTGCTCCTCCTTGCACAAAGGCGGAGGTAGCAGTCCTGCTGCTGGGTTGTTGCCCTCCTACGGCCTCCTCCACGTCTCCTGATGTACTGGCCTGTCTCCTGGTAGCGCCTCCATGCTCTGGACACTACGCTGACAGACAGCAAACCTTCTTGCCACAGCTCGCATTGATGTGCCATCCTGGATGAGCTGCACTACCTGAGCCACTTGTGTGGGTTGTAGATTCCGTCTCATGCTACCACTAGAGTGAAAGCACTGCCAGCATTCAAAAGTGACCAAAACATCAGCCAGGAAGCATAGGAACTGAGAAGTGGTCTGTGGTCACCACCTGCAAAACCAGTCCTTTATTGGGGGTGTCTTGCTAATTGCCTATAATTTCCACCTGTTGTCTATTCCATTTGCACAACAGCATGTGAAATGTATTGTAAATCAGTGTTGCTTCCTAAGTGGACAGTTTGATTTCACAGAAGTGTGATTGACTTGGAGTTACATTGTGTTGTTTAAGTGTTCCCTTTATTTTTTTGAGCAGTGTATTTGGTACAGAAACCTTTGTTTGCAATTACAGAGATCATACGTTTCCTGTAGGTCTTGACCAGGTTTGCACACACTGCAGCAGGGATTTTGGCCCAGTCCTCCATACAGACCTCCTCCAGATCCTTCAGGTTTCGGGGCTGTCGCTGGGCAATACGGACTTTCAGCTCCCTCCAAAGATGTTCTATTGGGTTCAGGTCTGGAGACTGGCTAGGCCACTCCAGGACCTTGAGATGCTTCTTACGGAGCCACTCCTTAGTTGCCCTGGCTGTGTTTCGGGTCGTTGTCATGCTGGAAGACCCAGCCACGACCCATCTTCAATGCTCTTACTGAAGGAAGGAGGTTGTTGGCCAAGATCTCGCGATACATGGCCCCATCCATCCTCCCCTCAATACGGTGCAGTCGTCCTGTCCCCTTTGCAGAAAAGCATCCCCAAAGAATGATGTTTCCACCTCCATGCTTCACGGTTGAGATGGTGTTCTTGGGGTTGTACTCATCCTTCTTCTTCCTCCAAACACGGCGAGTGGAGTTTAGACCAAAAAGCTCTATTTTTGTCTCATCAGACCACATGACCTTCTCCCATTCCTCCTCTGGATCATCCAGATGGTCATTGGAAAACTTCAGACGGGCCTAGACATGCGCTGGCTTGAGCAGGGGGACCTTGCGTGCGCTGCAGGATTTTAATCCATGACGGCGTAGTGTGTTACTAATGGTTTTCTTTGAGACTGTGGTCCCAGCTCTTTTCAGGTCATTGACCAGGTCCTGCCGTGTAGTTCTGGGCTGATCCCTCACCTTCCTCATGATCATTGATGCCCCACGAGGTGAGATCTTGCATGGAGCCCCAGACCGAGGATGATTGACCATCATCTTGAACTTCTTCCATTTTCTAATAATTGCGCCAACAGTTGTTGCCTTCTCACCAAGCTGCTTGCCTATTGTCCTGTAGCCCATCCCAGCCTTGTGCCGGTCTACAATTTTTATCCCTGATGTCCTTACACAGCTCTCTGGTCTTGGCCATTGTGGAGAGGTTGGAGTCTGTTTGATTGAGTGTGTGGACAGGTGTCTTTTATACAGGTAACGAGTTCAAACAGGTGCAGTTAATACAGGTAATGAGTGGAGAACAGGAGGGCTTCTTAAAGAAAAACTAACAGGTCTCTGAGATCCGGAATTCTTACTGGTTGGTAGGTGACCAAATACTTATGTCATGCAATAACATGCAAATTAATTACTTTAAAATCATACAATGTGATTTTCTGAATTTTTGTTTTAGATTCCGTCTCTCACAGTTCAAGTGTACCTATGATAAAAATTACAGACCTCTACATGCTTTGTAAGTAGGAAAACCTGCAAAATCGGCAGTGTATCAAATACTTGTTCTCCCCACTGTAGATAGGTATGTGCCTTTCCAAATCATGTCTAATCAGTTGAATTTACCACAGGAGGACTCCAATCAAGTTGTAGAAACGTCTCAAGGATGATCAATGGAAACAGGATGCACCTGAGCTCAATTTCGAGTCTCATAGCAAAGTGTCTGAATATTTATGTAAATAAAGTATTTCTGTTTTTAAAGATTTTAATAAATGTATAAACATTTCTAAAAACCTGTTTTCGCTTTGTCATTATCGGGTATTGTGTGTAGATTGATGAGGGATTTTTTTTTTTTTAATCCATTTTAGAATAATGCTATAACGTAACAAAATGTGGAAAAAGTTAAGGGGCTGAATACTTTTCGAATGCACTGTAGGCAAAATATCTGAATTGGGCTGTCTGTAAACGCAGCCTAAGTATCCCCAAACCTATGTACTAGATGTAGTTACCTTGGTAGGTACAGTGTAGCACCGGAGGTTGGTGGCACCTTAATTGGGGAGAACGGGCTTGTGGAAATGGCTGGAGCGAAATGAGTGGAATGGTATCAAACACATGGTTTTGATGTGCATTTGTTCCATTCCCTCAGCAGCCTCATGTGCAGTGTAGGTACACATTGTTACATTACCTACAATTGAAGCAGGTTGTGGGATGAACAATTTCATGGATTTGCAAACAAACTTAACATTTTGATAATAGTAATAAAATAACTGAGGGATGACTGTAATAAAACAATGTGAATAACTGTGTGATAAAATGGTAATCTTGGGTAATGAGGTTTAGCCACAGTTTAGTTTGTTTACAGATCGCATGCATATACCATTTTTAAAAGTGTAATTAGACTACACAACCCACAAACAGGTGTAAGTTAAGTACTATATAACAGTGTAACTGTAGTTACATTAGACCTGCCTGTCTGTGCCTGTAACTACAATGTCTACTGATTGGATTTATTCTGTATAGTGAAATTTCTAGTGGAGCATCAGCCACATTTTCAATGAGTTGATTAAAAGGCAATGGTTTATTATTGTGCCATTTGTGCCACTAGGTGGGAGTATTGGTTACTGATATGTCCACACTGCATCTCCACCTGTTGGCTGTTGACTTGTACTGCAGAAGCAGAAGGCCTGGGCGTCACCATGCCAAGCCTACTCATCCCCAAACATCCCATGACCATAACATTGTCATTTGCTTTCTTCTTAACTGTCTTTGAACTTTTGGTGCCAACATGGCATCCGTGACAGTTCCCTACTCCTTAAAACAAAGTTGCCAAATTATGTATGGTTCTGATCAATGTAATTCTTATTTCATGTCTGAACTTGACCTCAACCCTTTCCCCCCTGTACATCTCACATGTCATTGACAGGCCATCATCAATGTTTTTTTAAGTTGATTATGGGCCGGTTTAACTAAAAGCATGTATTCACTAAACCCCAAACCTCAACTAAATCTTGTAATGAATGATGTGGAAATTGAGCAAGTTTGAGGTGACTAAACTGCTTGGAGTAACCCTGGATTGTAAACTGTCATAGTCAAAACATGTTGATACAACAGTAGCTAAGATGGGGAGAAGTCTGTCCATAATAAAGCGCTGTTCTGCCTTAACAACACTATCAACAAGGCAGGTCATACAGGCCCTAGTTTTGTCGCATCTGGACTACTGTTCAGTCGTGTGGTCAGGTGCCACAGAGGGACTTAGGAAAATTACAATTGGCTCAGAACAGGGCAGCACGGCTGGCCCTTAAAAGTACACGGAGAGCTAACATTAATGATATGCATGTCAATCTCTCATGGTTCAAAGTGGAAGAGCGATTGACGTCATCACTACTTGTTTTTGTAAGAGGTGTTGACAAGCTGAATGTACTAAGCTGTCTGTTTAAACTACTAGCACACAACTCGGACACCCATGCATACCCTACAAGACATGCCACCAGAGGTCTCCAGAACAGAACAGAATATGGGAGGCGCACATTACTACGTAGAGCCATGACTACATGGAACTCTATTCCACATCAGGTAACTGATACAAGCAGTAGAATCAGATTTTAATAAACAGATAAAAATACACCTTATGGAAGAGTAGCTGCTGCCTTGGCAGCAGCTAATAGGGATTCCTAACAAATACAAATCTGTGTCTGGGAAACCGACCCATAGTGTGAACAAACAATATAGGTCTTAGGCTGTATAGCTCCTGAGAGTATATACAAGCTGCTTAAGGCCCCGTGATGAAATGTGTTGGCATTTTGATTATTTCTCTGAATTTAGATTCTACAATGATAAGGGCTAAAACATTCCAGTCTCTTTCAAACACATGTACCTTGAACATCCTTTCAAATTAACCCCTGGCCTGAACCTGCTCCTTTCTTTTCTCTGTTACAAGGTGGTGGCTGATTCTTTATATGGTTTCGTAATGCATAGTCTGACATATTGTCTTTATGACATTCCTGGTCCCCTTCATAGTGCTTTTCCCTATACTATACTAGAGGTGAAAACATGCCCAGCCATTGCTGTTCCCGATGTCATAGACAGGCACATTGTTGGCCCTACATTTTGTTTGAGGGCCAAAAACAATGACGATTCATGAGGAGCCACTAATGAGGAGAGCTGACACAGAGACAATGGTGATGAAGGCACCGGACCTGCCAGGCCTGGAAGAGGTTTCCAAGGGGCCCGGACCACAGCGTTGTCTCAACTCAGCAGAGCAGCAAGGCATTTGGTGTGGGATGGACGCTAACTAACGCCATTCACACACAGCTCATTAACCCTCCACCTCTTGTTCAGCTGTGGCTCTCTCCACAGAAGAGAGGAGGGTGAAGAGAAAAATTTCTCTTTCACACAAACCCATGTTCACACGCACACAAACGTGCACACACCCAAGAACACACACATAAATACACACACACGTTTGAAGCAATACACAGAATGAGCAGTCAAATTACAGCTAAAGAACCATACACATTTATCCTCAGATGCCCTCTACTGTACCTGCCCACTTCTGAGTTTTTAATTTATGGGAGGCATATGGAGAAACTCATTGTTCATCAATTACAGTTGACCTTCTCATCCGGCTAGCATGAGTTTAGGAGCTTTGCTGTTATATTGAGTACTTTTCCTGTGAAGTGGTCATCATGTTAGCAACATTAGTACCAGGAAAAGGTCATCATAGAGAGTGAAAGTGATTTTTGATTACTGTAGGTGTAAATGATATCACAGCACAAATAGGGATTAACACTCAACCTAAGAAAGGCAACGCCATAAACATTTCTTTATTGGAATGTACATGCTGTAGATAAAAAATCATGGCTATTTTCCTTCGTGAACCTTTAACTTTGATTAGAGTTTGTATGTTCTGAATGCTGATTATACAGTTGAAGTCAGAAGTTTACATAGACCTTAGCCAAATACATTTAAACTCAGTTTTTCACAATTCCTGACATTTAATCGTAGTAAAAATGCCCTGTCGCAAAATCAGTTAGGATGACAACTTTATTTTAAAAATGTGAAATGTCAGAATAATAGTAGAGAGAATGATTTATTTCTGCTTTTATTTATTTCATCACATTCCCAGTGGGTCAGAAGTTTACATACACTCAATTAGTATTTGGTAGCATTGCCTTTAAATTGTTTAACTTGGGTCAAACGTTTCGGGTAGCCTTCCACAAGCTTCCCACAATAAGTTGGGTGAATTTTGGCCCATTCCTCCTGACATAGCTGGTGTAACTGAGTCAGGTTTGTAGGCCTCCTTGCTCGCACACGCTTTTTCAGTTCTGCCCACACATTTTCTATAGGATTGAGGTCAGGGCTTTGTGATGGCCACTCCAATACCTTGACTTTGTTGTCCTTAAGCCATTTTGCCACAACTTTGGAAGTATGCTTGGCGTCATTGTCCATTTGGAAGACCCATTTGCGACCAAGCTTTAACTTCCTGACTGATGTCTTGAGATGTTGCTTCAATATATCCACATAATTTTCCTTCGTCATGATGCCATCTATTTTGTGAAGTGCATCAGTCCCTCCTGCAGCAAAGCACCCCCACGGCATGATGCTGCCACCCCCGTGCTTCACGGTTGGGAGGGTGTTCTTCGGCTTGCAAGGATCCCCCTTTTTCCTCCAAACAAAACGATGGTCATTATGGCCAAACAGTTCTATTTTTGTTTAATCAGATCAGAGGACATTTCTCCAAAAAGTACAATCTTTGTCCCCATGTGAAGTTGCAAACCGTAGTCTGGCTTTTTTATGGCAGTTTTGGAGCAGTGGCTTCTTCCTTGCTGAGCGGCCTTTCAGGTTATGTCAATATAGGACTCATTTTACTGTGGATATAGATAGTTTTGTACCTGTTTCCTCCAGCATCTTCACAAGGTCCTTTGCTGTTGTTCTGGGATTGATTTGCACTTTTCGCACCAAAGTACATTCATCTCTAGGAGACAGAATGCATCTCCTTCCTGAGCGGTATGACGGCTGCGTGGTCCCATGGTGTTTATACTTGTGTACTATTGTTTGTACAGATGAACATGGTACCTTCAGGCGTTTGGAAATTGCTCCCAAGGATGAACCAGACTTGTGGAGGTCTACAATGTTTTTTCTGAGGTCTTGGTGATTTCTTTTGATTTTCCCATGATGTCAAGCAAAGAGACACTGAGTTTGAAGGTAGGCCTTGAAATACATCCACAGGTACACCTCCAATTGACTCAAATGATGTCAATTAGCTTATCAGAAGCTTCTAAAGCCATGACATCATTTTATGGAATTTTCCAAGCTGTTAAAAGGTACAGTCAATTTAGTGTATGTAAACTTCTGAGCCACTGGACTTGTGATACAATGAATTATAAGTGAAATAATCTGTCTGTAAACAATTGTTGGAAAAATGACTTGTGTCATGCACAAAGTACATGTCCTAACCGACTTGCCAAAACTATAGTTTGATAACAAGAAAATTGTGTAGTGGTTGAAAAACAAGTTTTAATGACTCCAACCTAAGTGTATGTAAAGTTCCGACTTCAACTGTATGTGCAGCCTTGGTGGTTGTAGTGCAAGATACAGATGATTAAATCCCAAACCTGCCTGGTAACTAAATGGATCCCCGAGAGAGGACTAATTGCATTAGTCACACCTGGACATCATTACTCCCTTGATTACTTACCCTTTATATAGCACTCTTTTGTTATCAGTCATCAGGTAGTATTGTTTATGTTTCATGTCAGACGCTTCTCTTGTTTTGCACCTGCTTCCTGACTCCCTGTGTCTATGTTACAGAATACTACCTCTACAAATGGAAGCAGCAGTTAACCAAGACCATCTCCCAGATGGTCAGCGAACAGGGACACCTACTTCGTCAACACCATGACCAGCTGGCTCATTTGGGGATGGCTATGGATGAGGTCCTCCGCGTTCTTCAACGAGTTGACATTACTCAAGGGGCGTCATATCCAAACAGCGGAGGATTCTCTACCACAAGTCGACCCAGCGAGCCAGTACCCCAGCCCATCCAGCAGTCCGTACTGGTCAGCGATGGCCGATTGTCCCACCACCGAGAGGTTGCCACGGTTATTTCTCTGCTGACTGGACAGGCGATGGAGTGGGCCACGGCCGTCTGGGAGAGAGGAGAGGAAGAGCTGGGTTCCTATGAGGGGTTCTTGGCTCTGTTCAAGGGGGTCTTTGACCATCCAGCAGAGGGCAGAGAGGAGGGTGAGCGCCTACTCCAACTGCGGCAGGATGGGCAGACCACGGCGGAGTACACGCTCACCTTTCGGACAGTGGCAGCATCCAGCGGATGGAATGAGCCGGCGCTCCACACCCTATTCAGAAGAAGATTGCGTGAAGAGGTCCAGACGGAGTTGGCATGCCGAGACGACAACCTATCCTTGGACGCCCTCATCGCGAAGGCCATCCGTCTGGATAACCTTCTTCGGGAGTGTCAATACCCCCATCGCCTCTCTCCCTCCTCCGTTGATCATTCTGAGTCAGAGCCTGAACCCATGGAGGTGGGGGCCACATGTCTCTCCGCAGCTGAGCGATGCCATCGTAGATAGCTGGGGCGCTGTCCTTATTGCGGACAGGATGGGCACCAGCTTCAACGGTGTCCGGTAAGTTCTAACCGGGGGTCCACAGGAGCAGAGGGACGGATGATCACTCCTGCGAATTCCATCATCATCACTTTCCGCCAAACCTTTCCTAGTAACAATTTCACTGGCTGGCTGTCCTTCATGTTTTGTTTCTACAGCTCTAGTAGACTCCGGTGCCGTGGGGAATTGTATTGACCAGGCCCTCGTCTCCTCCCTTAACATCACCTCATGCCCGCTCTCCTCTCCTTGTCTGGTTCAAGCACTGGATAGTCAACCACAGCACCACACACCCTCACCGTGGAATCCATACATCAAGAAATACTTCCCTTCCTCATCATCAGTGCACCCGTACACAAGATCTTCCTCGGCCTCCCATGGCTTCAACGTCATAACCCCACCATCTCACGACTGGGCACATGAATGCCGGAAGACCTGCTTACCCTTTCCTTGTGGTTCCACATCGGTTAAGAGTCCTGTGGTTGCCCTTCAGCCCAACATCCCGGAAGTATACCAAGATCTTCGGGACCCGCGCCACCTGTTTTTTCCAAGACCCGCGCCACCTGTCTCCCTCCTCATCGCCCCTGGAACTGTGCCATCGACCTGCTTGCAGGCTCTGCGCCTCCGCGCGGCCGCATCTACCCTCTGTCGGTGGCTGAAACCAAGGCTATGGAGGACTACATTCAGGAGGCTCTCCAGCAGGGTTTCATCGCACGTCCACCTCCCCTGCGTCGGCAGGCTTCTTCTTTGTGGCCAAGAAGGACAGAGGATTGCGCCTGCGCCTGTGCACCGAGGCGGCAGGTAGCTTAGTGGTTAAGAGCGTTGTGCTAGTAACCGAAAGGTCGCTGGTTCTAATCCCCGAGCCGACTAGGTGAAATATCTGTCGATGTGCCCTTGAGCAAGAAACTTAACCATAATTGCTCCTGTAAGTCGCTCTGGATAAGAGCGTCTGCTAAATTACTAAAATGTAAAATGTAAAGTACCGCTACCTTCTCCCGTTGGTGCCGGCCGCGATTGAACAACCCAGCCAGGTTTTTCACCAAGTTGGACCTGCGGAGTGCCTACAATTTCATCCGCATCCGGGAGGGGGATGAATGGAAGATGGCCTTCAGCATGATTTCTGGTCACTACGAGTACTTGGTGATGCCTTTTGGAATAACCAATGCTCTGTCAGTGTTCCAGTGAGAGAGAGAGGGGTCAGAGAGAGGTCAGAGAGAGAGAGAGAGAGAGAGAGATTGATTGGGGGAGAAGAGGACAGGAGAAAGAGGAAAGGAAAGTGTTACTGGTAACATCAAAGCGGTGACCCGATCCTGCAGGTACATGCTCTACAACATTCGCAGAGTACGACCCTACCTTACACAGAAAGCGGCACAGGTCCTAATCCAGGCACTTGTCATCTCCCGTCTGGATTACTGCAACTCGCTGTTGGCTGGCTCCCTGCCTGTGCCATTAAACCCCTACAATTTATGCAGCCCGTCTGGTGTTCAACCTTCCCAAGTTCTCTCATGTCACCCCGCTCCTCCGCACACTCCACTGGCTTCCAGTTGAAGCTCGCATCTACTACAAAACCATGGTGCTTGCCTACGGAGCTGTGAAGGGAACGGCACCTCCTTACCTTCAGGCTCTGATCAGACCCTACACCCAAACGAGGGCACTACGTTCATCCACCTCTGGCCTGCTAGCCCCCCTACCTCTACGGAAGCACAGTTCCCGCTCAGCCCAGTCAAAGCTATTCGCTGCTCTGGTACCCCAATGGTGGAACAAGCTCCCCCACGACGCCAGGACAGCAGAGTCACTGACCACCTTCCGGAGACACTTGAAACCCTACCTCTTTAAGGAATACCTGGAATAGTATAACAGTAATCCTTCTACCCCCCCTCCTCCCCCACCCCCCCATAAAAAGAACCCTGGCTAACCTAAGTTGAATGCACCAATTTGTAAGTTGCTCTGGATAAGAGCGTCTGCTAAATGACTTAAATGTAAATGTAAATACAGGTTGATGGGTGTTGAAGCATTGCTTTAAATTAAGGATAAGACATTAGATTGTTTTGTTGAAAAGATTCAACTGGTTCAAACCCTCTGAGGGGGTAGTTACACACATACCCCCTCACATTGTAATCTAGACTCAACAGTCTGACATCATCAATGACAAAATTGGCTTCTCATGAGGTGTCTTAAATATCCTGCAACTTAACTGTATTTTTGAAGAGATGCTATGGGGGTTTTGTATCATTTCAGCCAGTAGTTCTAAAAGTAGCACTCACAAACCAAAACAGGTCTGTCATGCCAAATAGTGTCCACTTGCCAAAATTGATTAGCTGTTAGCGTCCATTGCTATATCAACGGTGTGATAAGCTAATGCTTCGATTTTTGGAGATCATTGCAGCAGCCCATTGTCAGCCTCAAAATGTCATCCCGTCATGTTTTTCAAAAAGTTAGGCTTCAACCAATTGACACTTATGTCAACTGGCCATGCTCCCAGCAGGCTTTGCGGTGCCAATGGGAAAAGATGAGCGTCAAAAAATGTATGTTTCTGTCAATACATTGCAGTCAGTGGGAAAAGATGAGTGTCACAGGGTCAACGCTTATGCAGTACTTTGCATTCAATGGGGAAAATGAGTGTAAAAGGGTTGACGCTTATGTCAATACATTGCAGTCAATGGGAAAAGAGAAACAACAACCACTAGACACTTCTGTCAATACATTGCATTCAATCTCAAAATATGAGTGTCAACCAATTGTTGCTTATGTCAATACATTGTATTCAATGGGAAAATATTAATATCAACCAATTGATGCTTTTGTCAATATATTGCATTCAATGGGAAAAGATAAGTGTCAAAGGGTTGATGCTTATGTCAATACATGACAGTCAATGGGAAAAGAAGAGTGCCACAGGGTTGACGCTGATGTCAATACATTGCATTCAATGGGGAAAAAAGAGTATCACAGGGTTGACGCTTATGTCAATACATTCCAGTCAATGGGAATAGATGATAAGATGAGACTCACAGACAGACAGACATGTCTCTTTCTCTCTCTCTCTCTCTCTCTCTCTCTCTCTCTCTCTCTCTCTCTCTCTCGTTAATTATGTCACAGTAATGTAGTGTGACAGGTTAATCCTTCTCAAAGTGACACAACAAATCACTCCTCCCCTCCTTTCAGCCCTTCTGCTGTCCTCTCTCACTCCCGCATGCCTTATCCTCTAACACCCGGTCTCTCGCTTGTTTTCTTACTCACTCCATTCCTGCCTGTGCAGCACCCAGAACCCCATCACTAAGGTAAGGCGTGTACTGCCTCTGCTCACCGTGTTGTGTTGTGTTGACTTCCTGTTTATTATGATGATGATACATTCTAAAAAGTTGTGAAGAGCTAGTTTCACTGTTTCAAAACACATGCGTTTAGGTCTGATTCTGTTTGTAGGGATGCTGGAGTGATGCTAAATGTACACCTGTAATATTTTTCCATTGCTGACATTGTGCCAGGTCTCTCTCGAAAAATGTTTTTTACACCTCTAGAGATCATTAATACATTAAAAATGGATCAAGAATGCACAATAAAATGTATATATATATAAAAACATTAAAAAAAAGTTTAAATAGACAAATGCAAGTCTAGCTGTATATACACAGTGATGCGCTCGCTTCTTAAAATTCCACATGTAGTTCTATATCTGGATTAAACAACGATGTCCCAAAGCAGAAACACGTTGGTTGATCAGAATAACTATCAGGGTGTGGCTATCTGACATAAATTGTTATATGTTATATCTTTGTTATGTGGATGTTAGAGGAAGTCTGATTTACTTTACATTTTCTGTGTTGTTTCAGAGAGCTTTGACCACCACGTTTGTAATGCAATGTGAAAAAATATATGTGAAAAATACATGGTAAAAACATTTTTTTAAATATGTATTTTGTATGTCAAAAATACATGGCAGATTACAAAACTGATTGAAAAACATTTGCTTTGATTCAGAGTGCATAAGGGTGGGGTTCCCAGTGCCCCCTCATTGTAGCCCTGTAGTCAAGAGAAGATGCATGAAATAGGATTATCTTATCCTATGATCTTTCTTTCATCACTTAACTTTACTGTTGTTTTCATGTGAAAGAGACTCTCTGGCACAGTAATTGAAGTGTTCTGGAGAGTAACCCATTGTATTCTCTGTTCCAACTCTTTTCTCTTCACAGTGTCTGTGAAGCTGCTGCAAGACCCTGTGACAATGGCTGCTGTAAGTTAATTGAGTAACTATTCAAAAGGTTACTATCCTGGTTGCCAGTCTGTTTATACTTTAGCCAACTAGTGAACTATTCTAAAGGCTTTTATAACTAGAGTGGCACTCTAAGTCTGGCTTTATCAGTGCAACGGTGTTGTATCAAAATCAAATCAAATCCAATTGTATTTGTCACATTCCGCCAAATACAACAGGTGTAGACCTTACAGTGAAATGCTTACTTACAAGCCCTTTACCAACAATGCAGTTTTAAGAAAGAATACCTAAAAAAAAGAGGAAATAAAAGTAACAAATAATTAGAGAGCAGCAGTAAAATAACAATAGCGAGGCTAGATACAGGGGTACCGGTACCGAGTCAATGTGCGGGGGCTCCGGTTAGTCGAGGTAATTGAGATAATATGTACATGTAGGTAGAGTTATTAAAGTGACTATGCATAGATAATAAACAGAGTAGCAGCAGCGTAAAAGAGGGGGGGCAATGCAAATAGTCTGGGTAGCCATTTGATTAGATGTTCAAGAGTCTTATGGCTTGGGGGTAGAAGCTGTTTAGAAGCCTCTTGGACCTAGACTTGGTGCTCCGGGACCGCTTGCCGTGCGGTAGCAGAGAGAACAGTCAATGACTAGGGTGGCTGGAGTCTTTGACCATTTTTAGGGCCTTCCTCTGACACTGCCTGGTATAGAGGTCCTGGATGGCAGGAAGCTTGGCCCCAGTGATGTACTAGGCCGTACGCACTACCCTCTGTAGTGCGTACCCTCTGTATCGAGGTGCTTGGCTTGCCAACAAGAGTTGTTTCCCACTGGACAGCAGTTGCTTCCCACTTGGCGCCTGTACCACATGTCAACGGTGGTAGCTAACGTGGCCAATTTGTTCCAGCCTACATGAGATATAACTTGTAATATTGGTAGTAAACATCTGGATGTGATACAGTCTACTGCTTATTGGGGAGAGTTTGCGCTGCAAGCCAGCCACACAACAACACGGGGCACAGTGTCCTTCACCTGGAGCCAATATCAGGCCAGGATGACAGCTAAAGCACATTTATTGTAGTGATTTTCACCGAAAATGTACAACTACGGCATTAACGTCTACATTTTTATAAAAAAACAACAACAAAAAATGTATCTGATAAAAACGGAATGATTCTGAACACTTTCCCAAGTCCCAACTTTGGCAGACAAGTTTCAAATTCTCACTGAAGTTTTAAGCCACAAGCATAAACTAGCTAGCTGGGAAGGGCTCATCAGGACGATTGACTGAACTGAATCTGTTCATCTACACGCGACATACATCATCAATTTGGGCACCAGACGTGTTCGTATAGCCTCCACCTTTCGGGGTACATTTGAATGTCACTATACGTCGCTGGTTAACTCTGTTGTTATGTAAAATATGCAGGATCTGGGATGGGCTCCTCCTAATCAAAGAGGTGGCTTTAGCAGCCCTCTGTATAATCATGTGAGGCAGATTAAACACTCCATTCACTCACTGGTCTGGATCATTTGTGGTCTGTCCCTGGGATGTAGTGCAGGGGGATTAATGTGTGTGTGTGTGTCTGTGTCTGTCTGTGTGTGTGTGTGTGTGTGTGTGTGTGTGTGTGTGTGTGTGTGTGTGTGTGTGTGTGTGTGTGTGTGTGTGTGTGTTTGTGTGTGCTTGTGTCTTTGCTTGACTGTGTGTATCTGCTGGTATGAATTTCTCAAATGTTTTTCTGTCTACACCTGCAGTTTGTCCGTAGACATTGAGATTCACCCTGTATTGACATTAATTGAAAAGGAACTGAACCCAAACCCTCTTACAGAGTGAGGTTGCCCATTCCAATAACCTTTCCATGAATTAACCTCTTAAGGATCGGACCCTTTTTTTCAATTTTCGCCTAAAATGACATACCCAAATCTAACTGCCTGTAGCTCAGGACCTATAATAATAATAATAATAATAATAATATGCCATTTAGCAGACGCTTTTATCCAAAGCGACTTACAGTCATGCGTGCATACATTTTTGTGTATGGGGTGGTCCCGGGGATCGAACCCACTACCTTGGCGTTACAAGCGCCGTGCTCTACCAGCTGAGCTACAGAGGACCTGAAGCAAGGATATGTATATTCTTGATACCATTTGAAAGGAAACACTTTGAAGTGGAAATGTTAAATTAATGTTAATATAACACATTATATCTAGTAAAAGATAATACAAACCAAAAATGTTTTTGGGCCCATCATCTTTGAAATACAAGAGAAAGGCCACAATATAATCCGTGGTCCTCTGTAGCTCAGCTGGTAGAGCACGGCGCTTGTAACGCCAGGGTAGTGGGTTTGATCCCCGGGACCACCCATACGTACAATTGTATGCACGCATGACTGTAAGTCGCTTTGGATAAAAGTGTCTGCTAAATGGCATATTATTATTGTATTATTATAATATTGCAGTTTAGGTGCAATTTAGAATATGGCCACTTGATGGCAGCAGGGCGTGTGCAAAGTTTCAGATTGATCCAGTGAAGCATTGCAATACTGGACTATTTTGTATCAAGTCTGCCCAAATGTGCCAAATTGGTCAATTGATACATTTGCAAGTACATAACTATAGAGAACATACAAAAAATGATATGGTAATACAAAATGTAAGTTTACACACTCCCGGGAATGTCATACATTTACATTTTTACATTTTAGTCATTTAGCAGACGCTCTTATCCAGAGCAACTTACAGTTAGTGAGTGCATACTTTTTTCATACTGGCCCCCCGTGGGAATCGAACCCACAACCCTGGCGTTGCAAGTGCCATGCTCTACCAACTGAGCTACAGGAGGGTGGATCATGATACATGGTGGATCATTAGCTTATACACTAACTTTCATAGATCTAGCTGGCCGGGCGGGGTGGGTGTGGAGCCAGAGACAGCAGTGGTTCAAACTGTAGAACCCAGTTCCTACATTTGAATATAAAAATGGATTTTATCAAACAAAACTATGCTACATTTTATCTCTGGGACCCTTAGGATGACAAATCAGAGCAAGATTACTGAATGTAAGTACATTATTTACCTTCAGAGATGAATGTATCAAACCAGTTTTTTGTTGTTGTGCACTCTCCTCAAACAATAGCATGGTATTCTTTCACTGTAATAGCTACTGTAAATTGGACAGTGCAGTTAGATTAACAAGAATGTAAGCTTTCTGCCCATATAAGACATGTCTATGTCCTGGAAAGTTTGCTGTTACTTACAACAGTCATGCTAATCACATAAGCGCACGTTAGCTCAACCATCCCGTATACGGGACACCGATCCCGTAAAGGTTAAGTAAAGGAAAGATGGAGTGATGAATTTTTTAAGTATTCAAATAGGGCCACCAAAAAGATGACAGCAAAGATTCAATAACGTTACTTTCACCGATTAAATCATGTTGGATCAATGATTACACAAGGAAAGGAGGAAATTAAGAATGAAGGAATTCAAACAGGTTCTTCATCTATCAGTGAAACCCTGATTATGTCCATCTGTCTAGACCGGAACGTTCCGTATGGTGTCGGAGGAGGAGCAGGCCATGAGGTCCAAGCTGGAGCATCTGACTGTGAAGGACCACGGGCCTGTGTTTGGACCCTGTCCCAAACTGCCTGTACACACAATACAGAAGGTAATACCTATAACACCTTAAAAATCCTATTGTTGTTTATGACATTTTCAATCCCAATAAAATATGTATTATAAAAAATTACGTATTGCCTGCACATACACTCAGTGGCCAGTTTATTATGTACACCCATCTAGTACCAGGTCGAACCCGCTTTGCCTCCAGAACAGCCTGAATTCTTCGGGGCATGGACACGTTGCTCAATTGGTATCAAGGGATCTAACGTGTGCCAGGAAAACATTCCCCACACCATTACACCACCGGCACCAGCCTGTACCATTGACACCAGGCAGGATGGGGCCATGAACTCATGCTGCTTACGCCAAATCCTGACTCTGTCATCAGCATGACGCTACAGGAACCAGGATTTGTCGGACCAGGCAATGTTTTTCCACTCCTCAATTATCCAGTGTTGGTGATCGCATGCCCACTAGAGCCGCTTCTTCTTGTATTTAGCTGAAAGGAGTGGAAGCCGGTGTGGTCGCCTGCTGCAATAGCCCATCCGTGACAAGGACCAATGAATTGTGCGTTCCGAGATGCCATTGTGCGCACCACCATTATTTGCTTGTTTGTGACCCGCCTCTTAGCTTGCATGATTCTTGCCATTCTCCTTCGACCTCTCTCATCAACGAGCTGTTTTCACCCACAGGACTGCCGCTGACTGGATGTTTTTTGTTTGTCGCACCATTCTCGGTAAACCCTAGACACTGTCGTACGTGAAAAGCCCAGGAGGCTGGCCATTTCTGAGATACTGGAACCAGCTTGCCTGGCACCGACAATTATACCACGCTCAAAGTCGCTTAGGTCACTAATTTTGCCAATTCTAACATTCAATCAAACAGTAACTGAATGCCTCGATGCCTGTCTGCCTGCTTTATATAGCAATCCACGGCCACATGACTCACAGTCTGTAGGAGTGAACCATTTTCGTAAATGGCGTGGTGTACCTAATAAACTGGCCACTGAGTGTATGTAATCAATGTTAGCAATATCATTACCCGTGATTGTGGTTTGTGACAGGTTATGTCTCGCTAGGGCAGCAATATAGCATTGTTGAATGCCGAAACAATTGCAGCTAAAAGTATCCTCCCTCTGTCAGTAAGGACACTGTCATCTTTGTTTTTGCCAATTGAGGGTGTTTTCACACTTTCAGTCCATTTCAGACAATTTTTGTGAACTCAGCGCAGTTCGCTTAATTTTTTTGTGCAGTGTGAATGCTCCAAAGGAACTCAGATCCCTCAAAAGAGCCCCCGAAGTGAATCGAACTGAGACCATCTCGAGAGGTGGTCTGAGTTCGGTTTGCTTGAATTCCGCGGTCCGGTTCCCTTTTTTAGGGCAATGTGAACACAAAGCTCTCCAGGTTCGCTTGTCATTATTCCTGCACAGTGGCGGCTCCTGAAAAAATTCTCAGGAGGGGCAATTTTTCTGATGATTTAGGTGACCTACACACATTTAAAAAAAGATATGTCCAGCAACAACATGAAGACAGGGGCAGCATATAAGTCAATACCAGAAGCATTTATTGACTGATCTCAAAAGTGTTGGCTTACCAGGGTTGGTGGAGCCCTCAGTTTCATCTTTGCCTCGCAAAGCTAACTCAAACACTCCGCAAAACTTCACACACTGGATTAGCCGGCTGAGGATGTGGCGGTTCTTGCTAATGTCGTAGTAAATATATTTGTTATAGTGAATATGGAATATGATATGTTGAGTAAAATGTTGTGCTAAGATCTATTTAGGTCAGGAGCTGGTTATAAGTTCTGTTCCTATCCAATAACAATGGACAAAAGGGTCCTATCTTGTCAGCCTTGTCAGCAGGTGGCCAAGGACAACACCCACGCCATAGGCCTCTCAGTTCTTCCAACTCACGAGTTCTTGCTCTGAGGACACACACACACACACAAACACACACACACACACATCATCACTGTTAAACACACACACACACACACACACATCATCACTGTTAAACACACACACACACACACACACACAAAAATCCCCTCTCTTAGGCTGAACATTTGAAGACAGAGAACCCGACTCAGAGCCAATGCAACAGTGACAGTAGCCTGCAGGGGACCTCGCCCAACTCATCAGGACCAATCAGAAGATCAGAACTACTAGATTGAACCTACTTCATTTATTGCATAAAATGTCTGCACACAATGTTTCGGGGCTCTCTTCAGATAATAATAATAATAATAATAATAATAATAATAATATGCCATTTAGCAGACGCTTTTATCCAAAGCGACTTACAGTCATGCGTGCATACATTTTTGTGTATGGGTGGTCCCGGGGATCGAACCCACTACCTTGGCGTTACAAGCACCATGCTCTACCAGCTGAGCTACAGAAAGTGGATACTCATGGATGCGCATTGCAATTGTAAAATGTCAACACAATTGGAGACACCACGTCATTTTTGGAGACATGTTATTGACAGTAAACTATTGTAGATGCGACTGCTAACTAACTAAAACATTTTAGCTGGCTAGCTAATCATCTTAGCTAAATGTGGGGCAAACAATTAAGTTATTTACCGTTAATTTGAGGGATTGGGGTGAAAGAAATCGAGTTACATAGTGATACTTTACGATATACTGTATTGACAATATCGCAATATTTTAGCGCTAGTTGGCTGTACCTGCACCAAAACACCATTATTGTTCCTTCATAGCTTGTTCTCAATCTTTTCACATTGGGAGCCAATTTGTTTTCAGCACTTTTATTTCCATGACTGATCAAAACTCGTTCTCATGGCTTTCTGATCCCTCTGCAACAGACATATGGTGCGCAATAAAATCACAGTATCGAATCGCAATACGTATAGAATCATGAGACTCGCAATGCTGATGCATATATCTTATCGTGAGGTTCCTGGCAATTCCCAGCCCAAGTTCATTTTTAAGAGTTTGACGAACGGGTCCGTGAACGCGATTCCAGATATATTTACCTCTGAATAAACTGCCTTTATTACACCATATCCACATCCAGTAAACTTGTGATTATCAACACTAACCTCATCGTTGTGGCGGCGGACAGCTAGCCTGTATCCCTCGTCATCCAGTTGAGTGAGTGGCAATGTCTTTTTTCGTTCGTACCAATTTTTGGAAAATCCTCGGGTGTAGGACTTTCCGCATTTAGTAGAAACCTGTTGAATTATTAAATTTGGTCTGGGAGGTCCTAATTGTTTCGTTGCCAATTTATCTTCATTTGTTCGCCGACAAAAAGGAACTTTTCTTTCAAACAATCCACTCTTTTCTCAGTTACGTTCATGGTTACGTAACGTATGACGAAAGCGCGTAAGTGCAAGCCCACAGACACCCATTGAGATTGTATTGAAGGCTCTGAAATTTGAAAAAAATAGATTTTACATGGGAGTCTATGACAGAAGTTCTGGGCGATTTTCAATCTGACTGAAATCGCCCCAAAAGGGGGTGGAGCCATTTGAAGCACGACTTTAGCCTGATTCGACATTTAGTGGCAGTGTGGCACTGTGGCAGATCAGACGTATAGATTACAACACTGATAACTACTGTTGCCGTGATATAATTGATTAGAAAAAAAATCCCTTCCTTTTCCCGTTTGGCAGTGCGTCGCCCATATCGCCCTATTGAACAGGCCGTCCCTGTTCCTGCACCACACATTAGGCTACTGCAACACAGTTTCCCCTGCCATAAGGCGGCAGGTAGCTTAGTGGTTAAGAGCGTTGTGCCAGTAACCGAAAGGTTGCTGGTTCTAATCCCCGAGCCGACTAGGTGAAAAATCTGTCGATGTGCCCTTGAGCAAGGCACTTAACCCTAATTGCTCCTGTAAGTCGCTCTGGATAAGAGCGTCTACTAAAATGTAATGTAAATGTAATAACCCCTCACATTGGTGCCACAAAAGAGAGAAGATGATGATGAGCAGGTTCACAGAAAAAAAATGCTGTTTTTGAATATTAATTAGTGATTGTCAAGGATGCACAGAAATACAAAAATATCTGTGGAGTTTTGTACCGACACGATGTTCAGATTATTTGTTTGCAATATGTGATCTACAGGCTAAGAGAGCTTCATGAACAGTTTATTTGATTGTGGGCTTTGAATAGTGTGAGAAGACAACAAAATATTTCAGATTTTAATTTGGATTTCATGTAATGGACATACACAAAATAGTCCAAATTGGTGAAGTGAAATGAAAAAAATAACTTGTTTCAAATTATTCTAAAAAACTAATACCGGAAAAGTGGTGCGTGCATATGTATTCACCCCCTTTGCTATGAAGCCCCTAAATAAGATCTGGTGCAACCAATTACCTTCAGAAGTCACATAATTAGTTACATAAAGTCCACCTGTGTGCAATCTAAGTGTCACATGATCTCAGTATATATACAGTGGGGAAAAAAAGTATTTAGTCAGCCACCAATTGTGCAAGTTCTCCCACTTAAAAAGATGAGAGAGGCCTGTAATTTTCATCATAGGTACACGTCAACTATGACAGACAAAATCAGGAAAAAAAATCCAGAAAATCACATTGTAGGATTTTTTATGAATTTATTTGCATATTATGGTGGAAAATAAGTATTTGGTCAATAACAAACGTTTCTCAATACTTTGTTATATACCCTTTGTTGGCAATGACACAGGTCAAACGTTTTCTGTAAGTCTTCACAAGGTTTTCACACACTGTTGCTGGTATTTTGGCCCATTCCTCCATGCAGATCTCCTCTAGAGCAGTGATGTTTTGGGGCTGTCGCTGGGCAACACGGACTTTCAACTCCCTCCAAAGATTTTCTATGGGGTTGAGATCTGGAGACTGACTAGGCCACTCCAGGACCTTGAAATGCTTCTTACGAAGCCACTCCTTCGTTGCCCGGGCGGTGTGTTTGGGATCATTGTCATGCTGAACGACCCAGCCACGTTTAATCTTCAATGCCCTTGCTGATGGAAGGAGGTTTTCACTCAAAATCTCACGATACATGGCCCCATTCATTCTTTCCTTTACACGGATCAGTCGTCTTGGTCCCTTTGCAGAAAAACAGCCCCAAAGCATGATGTTTCCACCCCGATGCTTCACAGTAGGTATGGTGTTCTTTGGATGCAACTCAGCATTCTATGTCCTCCAAACACGACGAGTTGAGTTTTTACCAAAAAGTTATATTTTGGTTTCATCTGACCATATGACATTCTCCCAATCCTCTTCTGGATGTACTCTAGCAAACTTCAGACGGGCCTGGACATGTACTGGCTTAAGCAGGGGGACACGTCTCGCATTGCAGGATTTGAGTCCCTGGCGGCGTAGTGTGTTACTGATGGTAGGCTTTGTTACTTTGGTCCCAGCTCTCTGCAGGTCATTCACTAGGTCCCCCCGTGTGGTTCTGGGATTTTTGCTCACCGTTCTTGTGATCATTTTGACCCCACGGGGTGAGATTTTGCGTGGAGCCCCAGATCGAGGGAGATTATCAGTGGTCTTGTATGTCTTCCATTTCCTAATATTTGCTCCCACAGTTGATTTCTTCAAACCAAGCTGCTTACCTATTGCAGATTCTGTCTTCCCAGCCTGGTGCAGGTCTACAATTTTGTTCCTGGTGTCCTTTGACAGCTCTTTGGTCTTGGCCATAGTGGAGTTTGGAGTGTGACTGTTTGAGGTTGTGGACAGGTGTCTTTTATACTGATAACAAGTTCAAACAGGTGCCATTAATATAGGTAACGACTGGAGGACAGAGGAGCCTCTTAAAGAAGAAGTTACAGGTCTGTGAGAGCCAGAAATCTTGCTTGTTTGTAGGTGACCAAATACTTATTTTCCACCATAATTTGCTAATCAATTCATAAAAAATCCTACAATGTGATCTTCTGGATTTTTTTTTCTCATTTTGTCTGTCATAGTTGACGTGTACCTATGATGACAATTACAGGCCTCTCTCATCTTTTTAAGTGGGAGAACTTGCACAATTGGTGGCTGACTAAATACTTTTTTCCCCCACTGTACACCTGTTCTGAAAGGCCCCAGAGTCTGCAACACCACTAAGCAAGGGGCACCACCAAGCAAGTGGCACCATGAAGACCAAGGAGCAAACAGGTCAGGGACAAAGCTGTGGAGAAGTACAGATCAGGGTTGGGTTATAAAAAAATATCCGAAACATTGAACATCCCACGGAGCACCATTAAATTCATTATTAAAAATTGGAAAGAATATGGCACCACAACAAACCTGCCAAGAGAGGGCCGCCCACCAAAACTCATGGACCAGGCAAGGAGGGCATTAATCAGAGAGGCAACAAAGAGACCAAAGATAACCCTGAAGGAGCTGCAAAGCCCCACAGCGGAGATTGGAGTATCTGTCTATAGGACCACTTTAAGCTGTACACGCCACAGAGCTGGGCTTTACGGAAGAGTGGCCAGAAAAAAGCCATTGCTTAAATAAAAAAATAAGCTAACACGTTTGGTGTTCACCAAAAGCCATGTGGGAGACTCCCCAAACATATGGAAGAAGGTACTCTGGTCAGATGAGACTAAAATTGAGCTTTTTGGCCATCAAGGAAAATGTCTGGCACAAACCCAACACCTCTCAACACCCAGAGAACACCATCCGATGTTTTCCATCGGCAGGGACTGGGAGACTGGTCAGAATTGAAGGAATGATGGATGGCGCTAAATACAGGGAAATTCTTGAGGGAAAGCTGTTTCAGTCTTCCAGAGATTTGAGACTGGGATGGAGGTTCACCTTCCAGCAGGACAATGACCCTAAGCATACTGCTAAAGCAACACTCGAGTGGTTTAAGGGGAAACATTTAAATGTCTTGGAATGGCCTAGTCAAAGCCCAGACCTCAATCCAATTGAGAATCTGTGGTATGACTTAAAGATTGCTGTACACCAGCAGAACCCATCCAACTTGAAGGAGCTGGAGCAGTTTTGCCTTGAAGAATGGGCAAAAATCCCAGTGGCTAGATGTGCCAAGCTTATAGAGACATGCAGTTGAAGTCGGAAGTTTACATACACCTTAGCCAAATACATTTAAACTCAGTTTTTCACAATTCCTGACATTTAATCCTAGTAAAAAATCCCTGTTAGGATCACCACTTTATTTTAAGAATGAGAAATGTCAGAATAATAGTAGAGAGAATGATTTATTTAAGCTTTTATTTCTTTCATCACATTCCCAGTGGGTCAGAAGTTAACATACACTCAATTAGTATTTGGTAGCATTGCCTTTAAATTGTTTAACATGGGTCAAACGTTTCGTGTAGACTTCCACAAGCTTCCCACAATAAGTTGGGTGAATTTTGGCCCATTCCTCCTGACAGAGCTGGTGTAACTGAATCAGGTTTGTAGGCCTCCTTGCTCGCACATGCTTTTTCAGTTCTGCCCACAGATTTTCTATAGGATTGAGGTCAGGGCTTTGTGATGGCCACTCCAATACCTTGACTTTGTTGTCCTTAAGCCATTTTGCCACAACTTTGGAAGTATGCTTGGGGTCATTGTCCATTTGGAAGACCCATTTGAGACCAAGCTTTAACTTACTGACTGATGTCTTGAGATGTTGCTTCAATATATCAACATAATTTTCCTTCGTCATGATGCCATTTATTTTGGGAAGTGCACCAGTCCTTCCTGCATCAAAGCACCCCCACGGCATGATGCTGCCACCCCCGTGCTTCACGGTTGGGATGGTGTTCTTCGGCTTGCAAGGATCCCTCTTTTTCCTCCAATCATAAAGATGGTTATTATTATTTCATCAGACCAGAGGACATTTCTCCAAAAAGTGAGATTTTTGTCCCTGTGTGCAGTTGCAAAACGTAGTCTGTCTTTTTTATGGCGGTTTTGGAGCAGTAGGTTCTTCCTTGCTGAGCGGCCTTTCAGGTTATGTAGATATAGGACTCGTTTTACTGTGTATATAGATACTTTTGCACGTTTTTCCTCCAGCATCTTCACAAGGTCCTTTGCTGTTGTTCTGGGATTGATTTGCACTTTTCGCACCAAAGTACCTTCATCTCTAAGAGACAGAACGCGTCTCCTTCCTGAGTGGTATGACGGCTGCGTGGTCCCATGGTGTTATACTTGCTTACTATTGTTTGTACTGATGAACGTGGTACCTTCAGGCATTTGGAAATTGCTCCTAAGGATGAACCAGATTTGTGGAGGTCTACAATTTTTTTTCTGAGGTCTTGGCTGATTTCTGTTGATTTTCCCATGATGTTAAGCAAAGCGGCACTGAGTTTGAAGGTAGGCCTTGAAATACATCCACAGGTGCACCTCCAATTGCCTCAAATGATGTCAATTAGCCTATCAGAAGTTTCTAAAGTCATGACATCATTTTCTGGAATTTTCCAAGCTGTTTAATGGCACAGTCATCTTAGTGTATGTAAACTTCTGACCCACTGGAATTGTGATACAGTGAATTATAAACAATTGTTGGAAAACTTACTTGTGTCATGGACAAAGTAGATGTCCTAACCGACTTGCCAAAACTATAGTTTGTTAACAAGAAATTTGTGGAGTGGTTGAAAAACTAGTTTTAATGACTCCAACCTAAGTGTATGTAATATTCCAACTTCAACTGTACCCCAAGAGACGTGCAGCTGTAATTGCTGCAAAAGGTGGCTCTACAAAGTATTGACTTTGGCGGTGAATAGTTATGTATGCTCAAGCTTTCTGTTTTTTTGTCTTATTTCTTGTTTGTTTCACAAAAAATGCATCTTCAAAGTGGTAGGCATGTTGTATAAATCAAATGATACAAACCCCAAAAAAATCAATTTTAATTCCAGGTTGTAAGGCAACAAAATAGGAAAAATGCCAAGGGGTGTGAATACTTTAGCTATTAGCTTCCAAAATGTAAGTAGGTATATTTAGCTGTCCCTTTGTAAAAACCCAGAGTGCATTGAGTGAATGTTGGAAAATGATCTTGGTTCCTTTCTAAACATAGCAATGTGAATGCAAAGAGGACTCAGACCACAAAATAGGTGAACTGAACTGGCAAAAGAGTTGAGTCCTCATTCAAAGAAGAGGGCAGTGTGAATACAAAGAGAACTGAGTTATTTTGCTATTTATTTTACCCCAGACTGAGATTGGTTCTTTTAAAGAGTACTATATGTGAAAACACCCTGAGTTACAGCAAGAGTTGCACCTGTTCCTTCCAAATGAGATTCACTCGTGTCTCTTCCAGGCGAAGGATGAACTCAACGAGACGGAAGAAAGGAGAGTGTCGTCTCTGAAGGAGCTTAGGGCCATGATGAAAGAAAAGGCGGGAGAGGGGGATGACCTGGCTAAGACGGTGCAGGAGCGCTTCGGGGACAAACCAGACTCCCTGCTGCTGCGCTTCATCAGAGCCCGCAAGTTTGACGTGGCCAGAGCCCACGAGCTCCTGAAGGGTGAGTGGGAAAGGCTATAGTAAGAGTAGGTTTGCAAAAATTCCAGTAACATTCCCAAAATTTTCCATTAATCCTGGTTGGAGGATATTCTGCTGATTTCTTCCTGATTCTGGAATCTTCCAATCACGATTTCTGGAAAAACTGCGTAAGAGGTAGAGGGGGTGCCTACTCTGTGTACACTCTTAGAAATAAAGGGTTCCAAAAGGGTTCTTCGGCTGTCACCATAGGAGAACCCTTTTTGGTTCCACGTAGAACCCTTTTGGGTTTAATGTAGAACCCTCTGTGGAAAGGGTCCTACCTGGAACCAAAAGGGTTCTACCTGGAACCAAAAAGGGTTCTTCAAAGGGTTCTCCTATGGGGACAGCCGAATAATCCATTTAGGTCCTAGATAGCTCCTATTTTTCTAAGGGATGCATGTTTTCTGCATGATGCTCCTTTTCTCAATGGCCGGAAGGATCAGACTAGTTCAATCCATCCATCAGGAGTGAATTGGCCAGTTGGGCTGGTCCATTTTCAGCCCAGTGGGCCTGTCTGACTTGATCATTATCTGGCTAATAATGGAGGCCTCAAGGACAAATATTGGCTGGTGTGGAGGCCTCAAAGGAAAAAAAAATGCCATCCATCCATCCACCCACCCACAAATCTATCCGTTAATCTCTCCCTCCCACCATCCATCCACTCACCCACCAACCCATCCATCCATTTAATCAAGCTGGGGTAAATGATCAATCAATTAATCAAAGAATTGTAGAGAAGAATATTAGGGAGACATCATATTCATCATATGTAGTGTTGTTGTCATCATCTTCATCCTGTCTGAATTACCCTGATGTGTATTCAGATGAAATAGCATCTCTCTGTCCCACACTGCATATTGTACCTCTGGTCTCCCATGCTTTCTCTGCCATAAACATTGTGTAATAGATTGAGTAATTTAGTGCCAAATCTCTTTTGTGCTCTGTTTTGAGTCACTGAAGCCTGCTCATCACTAAGACAGAGAGAATACTGTTCATTCATTGTGGACTTAGTTGTTTTCAAAGTCCCCTGGACAAAGGAGCTCTTTTATACACAAATAGGGCAGAAAGTCTGTTAAGCCTATACGCCTGCAGTGTTCTGCTGGGAACAGAGACAGAGACGGGCTGTGCTTTCATCCCTCCTCTTCCTCTCTTTCACACACCCACACACAACCATATACATGCACACACACACATTCACACACAGACGTGTACACTTATGTGCACACACACACACACACACACACACACACACACACACACACACACACACACACACACACACACACACACACACACACCTGGCTATAAACATGCTACGGAGACATGCAAATAAACACACATCTCTTACAGCGGACTGCACTAAAGAGGTGAAATGAGTTAGTTGTAACTTTTATTGCATTATACTATAATTATGTAACACACACATGATTTCCTTGTGGGTTCAATGTGAGAGAGGAATGCACTTGTTCTCTGGAGTTAATTGGTGGTCCAGTATAAAGGGATATGGTGAGGCACACACACACCGTGAGGATAATTGGTTCTGCAGTGTGAAGGGGCTAGGGCAGGAGAGGAGAGGCGGGGGAAACACTGGTGTTATTGTCTTTGCTCACCATGTGAAAGCACAGCAACAAATGTTTACAATTGCGAACTGTCCTAAATAGTAGTGGTGGGGCTTATGCTGCTTTTTGTTGAGAAAAAGACATCAGCGAGGGGCCAACGCTGTATACAGAGCCCACAGCACACTCGCCCTCTATGCACTTTACACTCTTAGATGTAAAGGTGCCTGGAATAACCTTTTGGGTTGCCACACCTGCGGAACCTTTCTAGTTTAAAAAGGTTCCTTGAGGAACCCCTCTGAAAAGGGTATTTGAGGAACCCCTGTGTAAAGGTTCAAACCGGAACCTTTTTGTGATGGGAGGGGTTACATTTTGAACCTTAAAAAAATATATTGTAGAGGTGGCAGCCGTGGCTTACCGTTAAATCAAAATGCACTCCTTCAATATAAAGTTGTTTTTGACGAAAATGAAAACGTGTCAGTTTGTCACTTTCACGAGGTTGGAGTAATAAGATGTTCAACTACTTAAGACATTGGCTCGAATCTAGGTTGTGCCATTCGATTTCGAGAAAATTAACAACTAAGAAATAATTGTTCACTTCTTTCACTGACTTCTCAAACCCCAACCCCCAGCCTGGTCTGTTTGGTCTGTTTCGCAAGCGTTCCCAGAAGTCTAGCGATGTTGCGTCTCTGGGTTTAGAAACTGTGATTATACAGTTCATGCGAAAATATTCGGATCTGGTAAAAGGCCGACATTGGTAAAAAAAATACAATTTGTATAGAAATGGAGGCACAAAGTACCAATAGCCTATGATTAAAGGGACTGCATGGGAATGTATTATTAGGCTCTCACCATCAAGTCACAAAATTATCAGCTTTCTTATTAGCCTCTTTCTATCGCAATTTATACGTGGTGGAGAGTAACAATTCCAGACAGAATAACCTACAGTTTGTTGGCAAACTCCAAGGTCCTATGATAATAGCCTACGAGTTTCGTGCGCAACGACATCCCTGTGTTTTCCGAGACATTACAGTTTGACAGGTGCTGCTTGCAGTTAGAGCAAGAAAACAAGAACTGATTTGATGAATTGATACTTATAATCAAGTACTGTGCACATATTTCATATGAATGGACTACATTGAAAACGTTTTGGAAATGGCAAGTTTACTATCTCATCCATGAATGCATCTCAAGTGCAAGTGCGCTGTTCAGCAGCTCATGTCAGCAGGATGGGTGGCCTTTTCATTAGGAGGGACGTCTACCGTGGATGTAAAATAATGACTATGATAACACTTCCTCAATTTAAATATTATGTGGACACATACATTTCGCAGCCAAGCACAAGATATCAGTGTAGTCTTTTATCATCTTGTCACGCCCTGGCCTTGAGAGCCCGGTTGTCTTTAGTTGGTTTGGTCAGGGTGTGGATTTCTATGTGTATATCTAGTTTTGTATATCTATGTTGGCCGGGTGTGGTTCCCAATCAGAGGCAGCTGTCGATCGTTGTCTCTGATTGGGGATCATACTTAGGCAGCCTGGTTGCCTACCTTAGTTGTGGGATCTTATTTGTGTTCCTGTTAGGCTTGTTGTGTATAGCCCATAGGACTTCACGTTTTGTTATTTTTGTCAAGTGTTTATTCGTCTTAATAAATATGTACGCATACCACGTTGCACCTTGGTCTGACCCGTCTCTCAACGACCGTGACAGAAGATCCCACCGTAAAAGGACCAAGCAGCGTGCCCAGAAGGAGCAAACGCCTGGGACTCAACAGGAGGTAACCTTGGTAGATGTCCTCCTCGGTTGGGGGAAAATTACTGAGGAGGAGGCCGTCCGTTACCGGGAGGCAATGAAGGAGAGTGTAGCCGATAAAGGACCCTGGGCAAAGGAAGAAGCCCGGGTAGGAGAGGATCAACCGCGACATCAACGGTGCCGGCCGAAGAGGAAGCCCGAGAGGCAGCCCCAAGAAAACTTAGGTGGGGCTAAAGGGGTGGTCGGGGATCGAGAGAGAAGAGCCCCGACCATTGCACCCATGGGGGTTCCAGGTGGATTCCCTACAACCATGGGAGCAGGATGGGAGCAGTTTTACACAGAGGAGTCGGAGGAAGACGACGACGATGAATTTCTGTTCCCTCACTCGTGGGGGCCCTCGGAGGAGTCCTCACTGGAGGGGAATTGGCGGTGGAGAGAGAAGGACTGGAACAGTCGTGCCAGTGGTGCGTGTTCCCAGTCCGGCACGGCCTCTGCCTGCTCCTCACACCAAGCCGGTGGTGCGTGTTCCCAGTCCGGCACGGCCCGTGCCTGCTCCTCGCACCAAGCCAGTGGTGCGTGTTCCCAGTCCGGCACGGCCCGTGCCTGCTCCTCGCACCAAGCCAGTGGTGCGTGTTCCCAGTCCGGCACAGCCCGTGCCTGCTCCTCGCACCAAGCCAGTGGTGCGTGTTCCCAGTCCGGCACGGCCCGTGCCTGCTCCTCGCACCAAGCCAGTGGTGCGTGTTTTCCCAGTCCGGCACGGCCCGTTCCAGGACAGAAACACGCACCTAAAATGGAGTCAGCAGGTACAGTCGGTCCGTCCGGATCTTTGGAGGAACGTATTCAATGGCAGGTGAGCAGGATCCAGGCTCTCGGCAGCGCAATGGAGCGCATGGTGAGTACATTGGAGCGATGTTTCTACACCTCCTCCAACCACACAACTCACCCGACCTCCAGTGACGGTCCCCTGCAGAGAGCACTGTAGCGTGTCGGTGCCCAGTCTGGGGCCGGCAACCAGCCCAACTACAGGGTTGGAAACCACCTCTGCGTCGGTGCCTAGGGTGGGCACGACGTACAGCCCCGTTTTGGAGCAGGAGCTCCTAAACGTGTCAGTGCCCAGTCTGGGACCGGCAACCAGTCCTACTACAGGGCTGGAATTTTCCTCTGCGTCGGTGCCCAGACTGGGCACAGCGTTTAGTCCTGCTCCAGAGATGGGGATGGATACAGGTCCAGTCAGCTGCTCCACTCCGGAGCCAGAGCAGTCCGCTCTACCGGTGCCAAGTCCAGCTCCGGTCAGCTGCTCCACTCCGGAGCCAGAGCAGTCCGCTCCACCGGTGCCCAGTCCAGCTCCGGTCAGCGGTTCCACTCCGGAGCCAGGGTCGTCCGCTCCACCGGGTTCCAGTTCAGCTCCGGTCAGCGGCTCCACTCCGGAGCCAGAGCAGTCCACTCCATCGGTGCCCAGTCCAGCTCCGGTCAGTGGCTCCACTCCGGAGCCAGAGTAGTCCGCTCCACCGGTGCACAGTCCAGCTCCGGTCAGCGGCTCCACTCCAGAGCCAGAGCAGTCCACTCCACCGGTGCCAAGTCCAGCTCCGGTCAGCGGCTCCACTCCGGAGCCAGAGCAGTCCGCTCCACCGGGGTCCAGTTCAGCTCCGGTCAGCAGCTCCTCTCCAGGCCTAGACGTCAGCCCCTCTCCAGGGTCGGGGCCTCCCACACCAGGGTCCAGACAGGGCTTGGTGCATCGCGGGAGGATTGCCGATCCAGGCCCAGACGTCAGCCCCTCTCCAGGTTCGGGGTCTCCCACACCAGGGTCATCCAGACCAGGGGCGCAATGGGGAGGCAGAGAGGGAGAGGTCGTCACGCCCGGAGCCAGAGCCGCCTCCGAGGCTGAATGCCCACCCGGACCCTCCCCTAATGAGTCAGGTTGGTGCGGCCGGAGTATGCACCTTTGGGGGGGGGGGTACTGTCACGCCCTGGCCTTGAGAGCCCGGTTGGTTTGGTCAGGGTGTGAACTTCTATGTGTATATCTAGTTTTGTATGTCTATGTTGGCCGGGTGTGGTTCCCAATCAGAGGCAGTTGTCGATCATTGTCTCTGATTGGGGATCATACTTAGGCAGCCTGGTTGCCTACCTTAGTTGTGGGATCTTATTTGTGTTCCTGTTAGGCTTGTTGTGTGTATAGCCCATAGGACTTCACGTTTTCTTTGTTTTGTTATTTTTGTCAAGTGTTTATTCGTCTTAATAAACATGTACGCATACCACGCTGCACCTTGGTCTGACCCGTCTCTCAACGACCGTGACACATCTAGACATGATGATGAAATATCTTCATGCCTAGAATAAAAACCTCCAGGCTTCCATCATAAGATTCAATTAAATGAAATAAAAATTATTACAGGGGGCAGTTTGGAAAAACGAATGCCGTTTCGAAACATCCTTGCTTTCTTTATTAAATGTTACTAGACACTGCTTTAAATCAAGCAGACAATAGCAGACGACCAACATCAATTTAGGGATATTGACTAATTGTCCCGCTGATGGCCAAGCAGGTGTCAATGGGGGCTCTAAAAGTATTCAGATGATTGATTATAATTAATATTTCAGAACATTAAAATCTAGCCTGCTGGTCAATCAGCACACAGTTGTCTGGACACTTTCCTATCTGTGCAGGTCAGTCACATTCCGCCTTCTTATCATATCGGAAAAAATGCAACTGGTATCCTATTAATAGCCTACAGGCAGACTTTACATATTGGTGCCAATCACTAGTAGCCTAATACTCCTCCAATCGATGGAGTCTGGAGAGATTTGGTGTGCTGCTGACAAGTTCAAGGCAATTCCTATTCAACATATGCGGTTTGAGTCTACTTTTCAAGGAAATATTGTAGGCCTAGTTTTATTATTGATAATTAGATTCTAGAGCAAATTGAAAGAAAATTATTACAAAATTAAAATAACATATCTTTTGGTTTCTTTGTTTCTTCTAGGCTATTGAATATGTGCACGTTTTTTCTTTATTAATAAATATGTTAGTAGGCTTAGTAGGCTAGTACATTTTTCAAGTAATCCGCCCAACCCTGTTTTATTTTGTCTACAAGGAAGGCAACGGAAGAAGCCATTGCAGCTCACTGAGTAAACCAAACATTAGGAACACCTTCCTAATATTGAATTGCACCCCCTTTTGCCCTCAGAACAGCCTCAAGTTGTCTAGATGTCCTTTGGGTGGTGGACCATTCTTGATACACACGGGAAACTGTTGAGCGTGAAAAACCCAGCAGCATTGCAGTTTTTGACACAAACCAGTGCACCTGGCACCTACTACTGTTCAAAAGCACTTCAATCTTTTGTAGTGTCCATTCACCATCTGAATGGCACACATACACAATCCATGTCTCAATTGTCTCAAGGCTTAAAAAGTATTCTTTAACCTGTCTCCTCCCGTTCATCTACACTGATCTAAGTGGATTTAACAAGTGACATCAATAAGGGATGATACCTTTCACCTGGATTCACCTGGTCAGTCTATGCCATGGAAAGAGCAGGTGTTCTTAATGTTTTGTATACTCAGTGCAGTATAGGCTCTTTTCAGACAGGTTTAAACAACCAACCGTGTGTGTGCGCGCGTGCTCGGCTGAAAGAGTCGCTTCTTCTGCAGCATTCTCTGTAAAATATAACGCTTTGCGGTGGTGCTTCGGTGCTGCTTGGGGCATAGGGGTGTCAGCCTTATGAACTGTACTGACCTCATGTGTTCTTCAAAAAGGACTTCATTCATCTGAATTTGCAGGTGTTAGGAGTAGTTAAACCATTGACCCCATTTTGCTGGGGTTTTCAGTCAGGTTAATGTATTCAGTCAGGTTAATGTATGAACTCTTTAGGATTGACCTCTCATTGGTCGTAGCCTGAGTGCCAGTCTGTTTGTATATAATGTATGTAAACTTTGTTGCCTAAATTCCTCTGTCTGTATTCTGTCTCTAAATGTTGTCTATCACTAGCAGCACCATATCACCAAGTAAAATTCTGAGTATGTGTAAATGTACTTCTGATTCTGTTTATTCTATCATGCTAACTCCATGTCACTCATTGTCATGCCAATGTTGGCTTCAAACTGACACCAATGGAGTAGGCAAGAGCCCAAACAGATCTGGGAACAGGCTACATTGGTGGTGTTAGGGCAATGTTAATATGTGCTCTTCAAGAGGAACCTCATTGATTTCATATCTGTGGCTGTTTCTGCACAGGTTATGTGCGCTTTAGGAGGGACTACCCTGAGCTGTTTGAGAACCTAACCCCTGAGGCGGTCCGCAGCACCATCGAGGCGGGCTACCCTGTGGTCCTGCCCAGCAGGGACAAGTACGGCCGTGTAGTGATCCTCTTCAACATCGAGAACTGGGACCTGGAGGAGGTCACCTTCGATGAGGTAGAGTATACAAACTACGGCTGCAAAATTCCAGATTTTTTTTGTAGTTTTTTTATTTATTTTAGAAATCCCGATTGGAGGGAATCCTCCAACTGGGATTTCTGAAAATCCTGGTAACTTTGGGAAAGTTTCCAAAATGTTGTAATCCTCATCCAAACCCACAGAGCAGACTGGTTCTGTATTATCTGTTCTGTGTAGCCAATTTTGTCCTCATGTCCACAGCACCAGAGGCGAGCTACCCAGGGGCTATACAAACAGACTGGCACTCAGACTACCACCAATGAGGCCAATCCTAAAGAGTTCATATTTTGGGCCTGACAATTTAAAAAAACAGAGAGGTGTTATAGAAGATCTGGACTACCAGGAAAAGCTTACCTCACAAACTGAAAGCCAAAAGCACTTAGCTACTTCATTTGCCACACTGCAGTTTCTCTTTGAACAAACATTCAAACCTTATGAATCTCTCTCCTTTCTCCCTCTTCCTCCTCTCTCTCTCCCACTCTGTAATAGACCCTGCGAGCATACTGTGTGATCCTGGAGAAGTTGTTGGAGAATGAGGAGACCCAGATCAATGGTTTTGTCCTGATAGAGAACTTTAAGGGTTTCACCATGCAGCACGCCTCTGGCATCAAACCCACTGAGCTCAAGAAGATGGTGGACATGATGCAGGTCAGAGCAGCAACACACACAAATCAATACACAATATCAGACTTAAAGGCGGCACCCTCACACAGAAAAGAGTTATACCCATAGATTGTTAGTTCTGGATGCAGTTCCGTAAGGCACAATGTAGCAAGACATTTTGCTACGAAAAAAGAAAATGGGCGTTCTTAATGGGTAAGTTCAAGTGGTAACACTTTACGTGAAACCCAGCGTCATAACACGTTATGACACGGTCATAACCATGTCATAATATGTCATAACAGCAGACGTTACTTGTCATAACCTGTTATAATATGGTAATAACACTGTCATGACACATATTTAGACCTGTTGTGACATATATTGCCTTATTTTATGGCTGGTTATGACACCTACATAAGAGTGTAAAAACCTACCACACAAGGCAAAACTTTCCATTACACCATAGCCTATGTGTCAACAGTATGTTTATGTTATATATATTATTTCTTTGCCATATTAAATTATCATTGTAATTGCGCACACATTGATGTCAGACATGAACCTAACCCAATGCTCTGTTGCTGGTGACTGGGATGAATGCAGGAGCAGAGTTCAGGAGCAGGACAAGACACCCTCTTTTTGACTGATGACTGATTTAAGGTCATGTACATGATAGGCCTATCTGGCTTATATGATATGATGGTCATAATGCTTCTTGACAGTGTCATAAAGTGCATTTCTTAGTCCAAGTAAAGTGACACAGGATGGTCATAATGCTTCTTGACAGTGTCATAAAGTGTATTTTCTTAGTCCAAGTAAAGTGACACAGGATGATCATATAATGCCTCATGACAGTGTCATAAAGTGTATTTTCTACAAGTTATTTAAAATATGATTAAAAAAACATTACTGTAAATAATTCATTACAACAACAAAGGATTTAAGAAACAAACTTTTAAACGAAAGGAAACTTCTTGGCAGGGAAAAATCTAATTTGAATAAATGTGGGTTTTGACACTCTTATGTAGGTGTCATAACCAGCCATAAAATAACGCAATATATGTCACAACATGTGTAAATATATGGGTCTTGACAGTGTTATGACCATATTATGACAGGTTATGACAAGTTATGTCAGCTGTTAGGACATATTATGACATGGTTATGACACTGGGTGTCAAGTAAAGTGTTACAGTTCAAGTAGTGCCTATCTGTTTCAGTACATTAAAACAATTATAATAATGAATGCCTTCTGAACAAGGCAAAGCCCTAATCAGACCAGTGGTTATCACGACCATTCGTCCATTCTAACATGACCGTCTAGGAACTACTCAGATCTAATCAGACCAGCCAGTCCAAACAAAACAGAAAAATCAATGTACAGTATGTGATCAGTCCAGCTGTCCCACTCCCCACTAACAGAAAACGAAGACCAGTCAATGTGATTACTGATACTATTTGTATTATGTGGTTCAGCATTCTTTTCGGAATGTCTCTCTGGATGTGCTAAATGTGCTTATTGCCTAAGTGAGTCTGACCCAGCCTGTGTTGGTCTCTATGTTGTATGCACTGCAGGACTCATTCCCGGCCCGTTTCAAGGCAATCCACGTGACCCACCAGCCCTGGTACTTCACCACCACTTACAACGTGGTCAAACCATTCATGAAGAGCAAGCTGCTGGAGAGGGTAAGAAGGAGGAGGAAGAGGTGGGGGAGTTGGAGGGTATGAATAGAGGTGCAAGGGGATGGTGGCAGAGGGTGAGCGGGAGGAAAAGGAGAATGGCAGAAGGGATGGGGTATGTTAAAGGAGGGAGAAGGGCAGCAGGAGATGCAAATAGCCTGTGTGCCAGTCTGATTTAAACATTTTAGCAGACGCTCTTATCCAGAGTGACTTACAGGAGTAATTAGGGTTGTGCCTTGCTCAAGGGCACATCGACAGATTTTTCACCTAGCTGGCTCGGGGATTCGAACCAGCAACCTTTTGGTTACTGGCCCAATGGTCTTAATCGCTAGGCTACATGGCGCTAAGCTACCTGTTTCTCCTTCAGGCTCCTCCATTGTCTTGTTTGGCAAGGTTTGTGCACTCTAGCTTAGCTTCCAACAAGATCTCAGCATTAGGGAACATAATCAATGTATTTGGCGTAATAGTTTTTCTGTAGTTCCATACAGATACCAGATATTTATTTATTTATTTGACATTTTGCAGGATGCAGGTGTACAAATATATATTTTTTTAAATACTTCGAAACAAAAATAATATGGCAACTACTTTCTAATAATAATAACAACAATTAAATAATAATAAACAAATAAACAGTAATAGTTTTTCCCTCATTAAAATGCAAATCAATTTCTAACATTTTTGACATGCGTTTTTCTGGATATTTTTGTTGTTATTCTGTCTCTCACTGTTCAAATTAACCTACCATTAAAATTATAGACTGATCATGTCTTTGTCAGTGGGCAAACGTACAAAATTGTACAAAATCAGCAGGGGATCAAATACTTTTTTCCCTCACTGTAGATGTTCTGTGTGAGCTAGGTTGATTGCTTTTTTATGAAGAGTGGCTGGAAGAACAAGCCGTGTTCCTCTCAGAATGATGTTTGCTTATGCATTGATTGTTAGTTCATGTCTCATGCGAAAGAGTGCTTTTAATGTTTGCAAATCAGTATCTTCTGTGTCACGTGCTGAATCTTGCCAGGTTCCTGTGGACAATAGGCACCTTCTGTAGAGCTGAGTTTTTCTTTGTTTCTTCTTACACCTCTTCTAGAGTCATCGCTTTGAGAACTGTGTTGTCAATGATGAAGTTCAAATATTCTTCTGCCATGCGAGAGGTTTTTTGTGGTGTTTCCCCTGCGATGGGATGTCTTGACATGTAGTCGGCAGGGTTGTCTTTACCGGCTTTGTACTTCACAGTTTAGCTGTAGGGTCGTAGTCTCAGTCTCCATCGCTCAAGTCGTGCTGGGGGTGTGGCTTTTGGGTTGTTGAAGATAAGCTCTAGTGGTTTATGGTCTGTGATGAACGTGAAGTGAGCTTCTCTCTCGGTTTGTGAGTAGCGCTGTTCAACCTCTGAAAGCGCTCGGCTGGCATATGTGATAATATGGGCATCTTTGTCACTTGTAGGGTTGTGCTGACTTAGTATGGCACCTAAACCAACTTGGCTAACAGTGTTGACTTCTTTGCTGGGTTAAAGTAGGCTGTAGTCGTGTGCTGCATCAGACGTGTTCTTAATAGTTTTTTTAATTGCAGACTGGTGCTGTGGTCCCCATGACCAGGTGTGATCTTTTCTTGTGAGCTCGCGAAGAGGCTGTGCAGTTGTTGCGAAGTCTGGGATGAATCGTGAGCAGTATTGTATCATACTCAGTAGACTGCGAACTTCTGAGACATTTTGAGGTGTTGGGAATGCCTTGCAGCACTTGCTGTATTGCATTTTGAAACACCTCGGCAGCTGAATTTATGCCAAAGTTCAGTCTGGTGTATCTCCAGAGGCCAGTATGTGTAGTGAAGTTTGTGATATACCTTGAGTCTGGATGTAACTCAAACTGGTGGTATCCAGCATTAATATCTAACTTGGAGAACACCACTGCTCCATTCAGATCATGGATGAGGTCATCAACCGTTGGTGTGATGTGTCGTTCACGTTGTATTGCTGACAGACACAGACACAAACTTTATCAGGCGTCTTGGGTTTTGGTGTGACCACTATTGGGGATACTCATGGCGTTGGCCCACTGATTTTTTCGATGATGTCTTGGCTTTGTAGTCTGTCAAGCTCCTGTTGAACTTTTTCTCTCATGTGAAAAGGAATCCTCCTGTGTGGTTGTACTGCTGGTTGCACTGTGTCATCAATGTGCAGCTTCATTTGAAAGTCTTTGAGTTTTCCTATGCCTTGGAAGAGGTCCTGGTGTTCGTTGGTGAGCTTGCTTATGAATGAACCATCAGCTGGTTCACTTGGAGTGGACAGAGAGTTTATTATTTTCAGAAGTCCAAGTTCTGTTGCTGTCTGACAGCTAAGTAGTGAGCCAGAGTCACCTTTGATTACATAGAAAGTGGTATCCACCATGTTAGTCTTGGAGCGGACTGGTGCTGTGAATTTTCATAATGGTAACTTGAATGTGTGGTTGCGATGGTTTCTGTAGTGTACACACAACATACACATAATCATCATCATCAGAGCTTGGGGAGGTGTCTTGTTTTTGTGTCTTTTTGTCATCTTGTGACTGCACTTTATGTTCACTACATTACACTGACCTAGTGAGATTTACATGGCGGAGGCTCAATCAAGCTAGTCGTCTTGATTACTTTCTTATGTCATTCTCGATAAAGTGTTGATAGGGGACAGAATGCGGTCAAATAATTGGCATATATATTACTCTTACAGAATTTCCACGTGGACGAGGATATTGGAAATGTAATAAAGCCTATTGGATGCATAGCGCATAGAATTAAAAAGGTATTTTTTGGATATTATTCATCCTAATCAGGCAGGTTTTTTAAATGGACGATACATTGGAGATAATATAAGACAAGTACTGGGAAACCAGGCCTGGTATTCATAGCTGACTTAGAAAAGGCTTTTGATGAAGTACGACTGGAATTTATATATAAATGCCTGGATTATTTCAATTTTGAAGAATTGCTTATAAAATGGGTTAAAGTTATGTTAAGGAACCCTAGGTGTAAAATAGTAAATAATGGCTACTTCTCAGAAATTATTAAACTGTCAAGAGGAGTAAAACAAGGTTGTCCACTGTCGGCATTTCTATTTATTATGGCCATCGAAATGTTAGCTATTAAAATCAGATCCAACAGTAATATCAAGGGGTTAGAAATCAAGGGCTTAAAAACAAAGGTGGCATTGTACGCTGATGATTCATACTTTCTTTTAAATCCACAATTTGGATTCCTCCACAGCCTCAAAGAGGATCTAGATACTTTTTTAACCTCTCTGGATTACAACCAAATTATTGGATCATAAACATTACCGTGTAGTTTACCAATAAAATGGTCTGACGGTGATGTGGACACACATTTCTCGAAAGAAATAAATTATCTTGTTAAAATACATTTTAATGGAAAGTTAGCAAAAATAGATAAGATTTTGCTACCATGGAAAGGAAAAGACCTGTCTATTTTTTGAAAAATCACCCTGATTATCTCTTTAGTATTATCCCAGTTTACCTATTTGCTTATGGTCTTGCCTACTCCTAAACAGCCCTATTTATATAATTAATATGAATTTGGATGGCAGAAATGATTAAATATTAAAGCATTAGACCTCTCACTAAAGGCGTCAGTCATACAAAAGTTATATTTAAATCCGAACTGGTTCTCTAGCAGATTAGTAAGAATGGTCTCACTCCATGTACAAGAATGTCATTTTTCCCTTTATTCAGATTATAACCTCTCACTTTTGGTTATTTGAAAATGAAATAATGTCCAAAATATCGCTATTTTTAAAACAAGCCATAAAAAGTTGGTTGCAATTTCAGTTGAATCCACCAGAAAAGACAGAACAAATAATACAACAATTCTTGTGGTTAAACTCAAATATACTAAATAAAATAATGATTAATTTTTTTAGTGAAGGTTGAATCTTTGTAAATTATATCATAAATAGGACTGGTGGAGTTATGTCACACATGCAGCCAACAAAAATATATGGAAATGTCTGCTCTACCCAAAATTACAACCATCTAATTGCAGCATTACCGCAAAAATGAAAGAGGCAAGTGGAAGGGGGAAAAAGTAAGGAACTGTTCTGTTGGCCCTGCATTAAAGGTCAAAATTGGTTAAAGAAAATTGTGATAAATAAAAAAGTATAGCAGTTTCATTTAAGGACCAAAAAATTGACAGCTGTGCCATATAATTTAAATTGCAAAATAGTTGAGAAGAGAATTTTGATGTAACGATTCCATGGCACATGGTTTATGAACTGATATGCAAAACAACACCGGATTCAGAATGTATAATTTTTCTATTTAAATTATTATACAAAATTCTTGCAACCAATATAATGGTAAATATATGGGGGATACAACCATCCCACCTAAGCAGTTTTTGGGCGCAGGTCCAGGAATGGTTGAAGAAGTGCAACATTTACCTGGAGCTAATTCTGCAGGTATCACTACTGGGTGATTTGAAAAGTCATAGAAAATCGATCAATAAAATAATAATACTTTTAGCAAAAACATTTATCTTTAATTTACAATCTGTAGAAAATATGAGAATAGAAATGTTCAGAACAGTTAAAAATATAAATCAAACTGTATGGGCTTCAGGATGGGGTTAAAAACAAACAAAAGATAACTATTGTAAAATACATTGTGTCCGTAAAATGTATATAGTATGTACAGTTGAAGTCGGAAGTTTACATACACTTAGGTTGGAGTCATTAAAACTCGTTTTTCAAACACTCCACAAATTTCTTGTTAACAAACTATAGTTTTGGCAAGTCGGTTAGGACATCTACTTTGTGCATGACACAAGTAATTTTACCAACAATTGTTTACAAACAGATTATTTCACTTATAAATTCACTGTATCACAATTCCAGTGGGTCAGAAGTTTACATACACTAAGTTTAAACAGCTTGGAAAATTCCCAAAAATGATGTCATGGCTTTAGAAGCTTCTGATAGGCTAATTGACATAATTTGAGTCAATTGGAGGTGTACCTGTGGATGTATTTCAAGGCCTACATTCGAACTCAGTGCGTCTGTGCTTGACATCATGGGAAAATCAAAAGAAATCAGCCAAGACCTCAGAAAGAAAATTGTAGACCTCCACAAGTCTGAGATGAACGTACTTTGTTGCGAAAAGTGCATAACAATTCCAGAACAACAGCAAAGGACCTTGTGAAGATGCTGGAGGAAACAGGTACAAAAGTATCTATATCCACAGTAAAAAAGAGTCCTATTTCGACATAACCTGAAAGGCCGCTCAGCAAGGAAGAAGCCACTGCTCCAAAACAGCCATAAAAGGCCAGACTACGGTTTGCAACTGCACATGGGGACAAAGATCGTACTTTTTGGAGAAATGTCCTCTGGTCTGATTAAACAAAAATATAACTGTTTGGCCATAATGACCATCGTTATGTTTGGAGGAAAAAGGGGGATCCTTGCAAGCCGAAGAACACCATCCCAACCGTGAAGCACGGGGGTGGCAGCATCATGTTGTGGGGGTGCTTTGATGCAGGAGGGACTGGTGCACTTCACAAAATAGATGGCATCATGAGGAAGGAAAATGATGTGGATATATTGAAACAACATCTCAAGACATCAGTCAGGAAGTTAAAGCTTGGTCGCAAATGGGTCTTCCAAATGGACAATGACCCCAAGCATACTTCCAAAGTTGTGGCAAAATGGCTTAAGGACAACAAAGTCAAGGTATTAGAGTGGCCATCACAAAGCCCTGACCTCAATCCTATAGAACATTTGTGGGCAGAACTGAAAAAGCGTGTGCGAGCAAGGAGGCCTACAAACCTGACTCAGTTACTCCAGCTCTGTCAGGAGGAATGGGCCAAAATTCACCCAACTTATTGTGGGAAGCTTGTGGAAGGCTACCCAAAACGTTTCACCCAAGTTAAACAATTTAAAGGCAATGCTACCAAATACTAATTGAGTGTCTGTAAACGTCTGACCCACTGGGAATGTGATGAAAGAAATTAAAGCTGAAATAAATAATTCTCTCTACTATTATTCTGACATTTCACATTCTTAAAATAAAGTGGTGATCCTAACTGACCTACGACAGGGAATTTTTACTAGGGTTAAATGTCAGGAATTGTGGAAAACTGAGTTTAAATGTATTTGGCTAAGGTGTATGTAAACTTCCGACTTCAACTGTATAAGGTGGAAGTAGAAGCCTAAGTGTTGTTGTCCATTAGTTTACTCCAATTAGGGGAGGGGTGGTAGGGTCAGGGGAAAATAATTAAGGAAAATATATTTTAAAAATATATGTATATACAGTGAGGGAAAAAAGTATTGGATCCCCTGCTGATTTTGTGCGTTTCACCACTGACAAAGACATGATCAGTCTATAATTTTAATGGTAGGTTTATTTGAACAGTGAGAGACAGAATAACAACAAATACATTCAGAAAAATGCATGTAAAAAAAATTATAAATTGATTTGCGGGAAATAAGTATTTGACCCATCTGCAAAACATGACTTAGTACTTGGTGGCAAAACCCTTGTTGGCAATCACAGAGGTCAGACGTTTCTTGTAGTTGGCCACCAGGTTTGCACACATCTCAGGAGGGATTTTGTTCCACTCCTCTTTGCAGATCTTCTCCAAGTCATTAAGGTTTCGAGGCTGACGTTTGGCAACTCGAACCTTCAGCTCCCTCCAAAGATTGTCTATGGGATTAAGGTCTGGAGACTGGCTAGGCCACTCCAGGACCTTAATGTGCTTCTTCTTGAGCCACTCCTTTGGTGCCTTGGCCGTGTGTTTTGGGTCATTGTCATTGTGGAATACCCATCCACGACCCATTTTCAATGCCCTGGCTGAGGGAAGGAGGTTCTCACCCAAGATTTGACGGCACATGGCCCCGTCCATCGTCCCTTTGATGCGGTGAAGTTGTCCTGTCCCCTTAGCAGAAAAACACCCCCAAAGCATAATGTTTCCACCTCCATGTTTGACGGTGGGGATGGTGTTCTTGGGGTCATAGGCAGCATTCCTCCTCCTCCAAACACGGCGAGTTGAGTAGATGCCAAAGAGCTCGATTTTGGTCTCATCTGAGCACAACACTTTCACCCAGTTCTCCTCTGAATCATTCAGATGTTCATTGGCAAACTTCAGACGGCCCTTTATATGTGCTTTCTTGAGCAGGGGGACCTTGCGGACGATGCAGGATTTCAGTCCTTCACGGCGTAGTGTGTTACCAATTGTTTTCTTGGTGACTATGGTCCCAGCTGCCTTGAGATCATTGACAAGATCCTCCTGTGTAGTTCTGGGCTGATTCCTCACCGTTCTCATGATCATTGCAGATTGACAGTTCTTTTGTGTTTCTTCCATTTGCAAATAATCGCACCAACTGTTGTCACCTTCTCACCAAGCTGCTTGGCGATGGTCTCGTAGCCCTTTCCAGCCTTGTGTAGGTCTACAATCTTGTCCCTGACATCCTTGGAGAGCTCTTTGGTCTTGGCCATGGTGGAGAGTTTGGAATCTGATTGATTGATTGCTTCTGTGGACAGGTGTCTTTTATACAGGTAACAAGCTGAGATTAGGAGCACTCCCTTTAAGAGTGTGCTCCTAATCTCAGCTCGTTACCTGTATAAAAGACACCTGGGAGCCAGAAATCTTTCTGATTGAGAGGGGGTCAAATACTTATTTCCCTCATTAAAATGCAAATCAATTTATAACATTTTTGACATGCGTTTTTCTGGATTTTTTTGTTGTTATTCTGTCTCTCACTGTTCAAATAAACCTATCATTAACATTATAGACTGATCATTTCTTTGTCAGTGGGCAAACGTACAAAATACTTTTTTCCCTCACTGTATATATATATATATACAGTGGGGAAAAAAAGTATTTAGTCAGCCACCAATTGTGCAAGTTCTCCCACTTAAAAAGATGAGAGAGGCCTGTAATTTTCATCATAGGAACACGTCAACTATGACAGACAAAATGAGGAAAAAAAATCCAGAAAATCACATTGTAGGATTTTTAATGAATTTATTTGCAAATTATGGTGGAAAATAAGTATTTGGTCAATAACAAAAGTTTCTCAATACTTTGTTATATACCCTTTGTTGGCAATGACACAGGTCAAACGTTTTCTGTAAGTCTTCACAAGGTTTTCACACACTGTTGCTGGTATTTTGGCCCATTCCTCCATGCAGATCTCCTCTAGAGCAGTGTTGTTTTGGGGCTGTCGCTGGGCAACACGGACTTTCAACTCCCTCCAAAGATTTTCTATGGGGTTGAGATCTGGAGACTGGCTAGGCCACTCCAGGACCTTGAAATGCTTCTTACGAAGCCTCTCCTTCGTTGCCCGGGCGGTGTGTTTGGGATCATTGTCATGCTGAAAGACCCAGCCACGTTTCATCTTCAATGCCCTTGCTGATGGAAGGAGATTTTCACTCAAAATCTCACGATACATGGCCCCATTCATTCTTTCCTTTACACGGATCAGTCGTCCTGGTCCCTTTGCAGAAAAACAGCCCCAAAGCATGATGTTTCCACCCCCATGCTTCACAGTAGGTATGGTGTTCTTTGGATGCAACTCAGCATTCTTTGTCCTCCAAACATGACGAGTTGAGTTTTTACCAAAAAGTTCTATTTTGGTTTCATCTGACCATATGACATTCTCCCAATCCTCTTCTGGATCATCCAAATGCACTCTAGCAAACTTCAGACGGGCCTGGACATGTACTGGCTTAAGCAGGGGGACACGTCTGGCACTGCGGCGTAGTGTGTTACTGATGGTAGGCTTTGTTACTTTGGTCCCAGCTCTCTGCAGGTCATTCACTAGGTCCCCCCGTGTGGTTCTGGGATTTTTGCTCACCGTTCTTGTGATCATTTTGACTCCACGGGGTGAGATCTTGCGTGGAGCCCCAGATCGAGGGAGATTATCAGTGGTCTTTTATGTCTTCCATTTCCTAATAATTGCTCCCACAGTTGATTTCTTCAAACCAAGCTGCTTACCTATTGCAGGTCTACAATTTTGTTTCTGGTGTCTTTTGACAGCTCTTTGGTCTTGGCCATAGTGGAGTTTGGAGTGTGACTGTTTGAGGTTGTGGACAGGTGTCTTTTATACTGATAACAAGTTCAAACAGGTACCATTAATACAGGTAACGAGTGGAGGACAGAGGAGCCTCTTAAAGAAGAAGTTACAGGTCTGTGAGAGCCAGAAATCTTGCTTGTTTGTAGGTGACCAAATACTTATTTTCCACCATAATTTGCAAATAAATTCATTAAAAATCCTACAATGTGATTTTCTGGATTTCTTTCTTCTCAATTTGTCTGTCATAGTTGACGTGTACCTATGATGAAAATTACAGGCCTCTCTCATCTTTTTAAGTGGGAGAACTTGCACAATTGGTGGCTGACTAAATACTTTTTTCCCCACTGTGTATATATATATATATATATATATATATATATATATATATATATATATATATATATATATATATATATACACACTACCAGTCAAAGGTTTGGACACACCTACTCATTCAAGGCTTTTTCTTTATAAAAAAAAAAGAAGAAAATTACATTGTAAAATAATAGTGAAGACATCAAAATTATTAAATAACAAATATGGAATCGTGTACTAACCAAAAAAGTGTTAAATAAATATATTTGAGATTCTTCAAATAGTCACCCTTTGCCTTAAATAGTAAAAATAAAGAAAAACCCTTGAATGAGTAGGTGTGTCCAAACTTTTGACTGGTAGTGTATATACAGTGCATTCGGAAAGTATTCAGACCCATTGACCTTTTCCACATGTTGTTACGTTACAGCCTTATTCTAAAATGGATTTCCCACAATCAACACACAATACCCCATAATGACAAAGTGAAAACAGAAAATACCTTATTTACATAAGGATTCAGACTCTTTGCTGTGAGACTCGAAATTGAGATCAGGTGCATCCTGTTTCCATTGATCATCATTGAGATGTTTCTACAACTTGATTGGAGTCCAGCTGTGGTAGATTCAATTGATTGGACATGATTTGGAAAGGCACACACCTGTCTATATTAGGTCCCACAGTTGACAGTGCATGTCAGAGCAAAAACTAAGTCATGAGGTCGAAGGAATTGTCCGTAGAGCTCCGAGGCAGGATTGTGTCGAGGCACAGATCTGGGGAAGGGTACCAAAAAATGGCTGCAGCATTGAAGGTCCCCAAGAACACAGTGGCCTCCATCATTCTTAAATGGAAGAAGTTTGGAACCAACAAGATTATTCCTAGAGCTGGCCACCCGGCCAAACTGAGCAATCGGGCGAGAAGGGCCTTGGTCAGGGAGGTTACCAAGAATCCGATGGTCACTCTGACAGAGCTCCAGAGTTCCTCTGTGGAGATGGGGGAACCTTCTAGAAGGACAACCATCTCTGCAGCACTCCACCAATCAGGCCTTCATAGAGTGGCCAGACGGAAGCCACTCCTCAGTAAAAGGCACATGACAGCCCGCTTGGAGTTTACCCAAAGGCACCTAAAGGACTCTCAGGCCATGAGAAACAAGATTCACTAGTCTGATGAAACCAAGATTAAACTCTTTGGCCTGAATGCCAAGCGTCACTTCTGGAGGAAACCTGGCACCATCTCTACTGTGAAGCATGGTGGTGGCAGCCTCATGCTGTGGGGATGTTTTTCAGCGGCAGGGACTGGGAGACTAGTCAGGATCGAGGGAAAGATGAATGGAGCAAAGTACAGAGAGACCCTTGATGAAAACATGCTCCAGAGTGCTCAGGACCTGACTGGGACTAAGGTTCACCTTCTAACAGGACAATGCCCCTAAGCACATAGCCAAGACATCGCAGGACTGGCTTCGGGACAAGTCTCTGAATTTCCTTGAGTGGCCCAGCCAGAGCCCGGACTTGAACCCGATCAAACATCTCTGGAGAGACCTGAAAATAGCTGTGCAGCAACACTCCCCCTTCCAACCTAAATTTCAATCTGTCCCTTAGCAAAGGATTTTTCAAGCTAATTCTTATTAATGTCATCTTTAATAAGATGACTTTAATTTGACCAATGCATTGAATTAACAGTGTTGATAATATTGTTAATCGAGTCTACTGGGGGCATTGGGTGGTCTGTAAATGTTACCATTCATCAATTATTTATTAAAATAACTACATGAGAAAAAGTAAACCTTCAAAATCTAAAGGGACAATCTCAGGTGAAATCTTCATGGAAAGTAATTTATTGAGGAAATAGGTTACTTCTGCCCCACCTCGAGTGCACCTATCAATTCTATATAACATGTAACCATGAATTTTTTACTCAGTGTGTGAAATGTTGGTATTCAACCATGTCTCTGAAATGGTTAATTATGAATGTGTTGTGCACCTACCTTTTCCTCTCCTCTAATTTTGGTCTGCGGCTCCTCCTCTTGGCAGGTCTTTGTTCACGGTGATGAGTTGGATGGCTACCTGAAGGACTTTGATGCCGACATCCTGCCTACAGACTTCGACGGGAAAGCCCCCATCACTGACTGCAAGGCCATCGCTACCAAGCTGTTTGGATCTGAGGACACAGCGCTCTAACCACCATACTGTCACATTATGAAGGAAGGCTAGAACAGACTGTGGTCCAGTCCAAAACGAACAGCTAGCGCCTAACCCTGGACACTTGATCCTCCCTCAGATCGGAAAGGCAGAATAGGTGGGGGTGAAGTTTCTGCCATGTTTCCTACAGGGTTATTCAGTTCTATCAGCTCTTCAAGTGGGCATCAAGATGAGTGTCTTCGGTTTGGGGCTAGTGGTTGATTTGTGACTGGGCAATAGGAACACAAGCGAGAAAGAATAGGAATGTTGAATAGAGGACATGGACAGTAAAAGTACAGAATATGAATTGTTGTTTTTTACAGCACAGAAAAGTGGATCTCCTCCATATACAGAAGTTACACTTTTGAAGATGCACAGGGAACAAGACGATTCCTACTGTATTTAGGAGCATTTGGGGATGAGATGACCCAACAGCTTATTACTGTAACAGTCTGAGGTGAAATTGGTGTTCTTTGCCTTAAAGGTTACTTTCGCTGTGACTTTACTAGAGGAGCCTATTGCCTAGCCTGAGACTGCAAAAAAATACATATAGGATATATATAGAATTTAGTAATAGAAGAATGATAAAGGAATATATTCCAGTCAAGCTAGTTGACTATGAAGAACATTAAGAATATGATAGATGGTCTGTGAAAAAATCCATTGAAAATATGTAAATTCCTTAACACAGTGCCATTGCTTAAATCCCCTGTTCCCATTATGTTTTGTGTAAACCGAAGTGTCTATATACTATGGGAACTCCTATGGTGTGCTTAGCTAGGACTGCACCTCTCTGTCAGACCCTTTGCCTCAAATTGATGGCATCAGTTGCTACTCCTGAATTTACATGACAACAGACAGCATTGATGAAAAACTAAAACTAATTAACTCAGCTGTTCACAATGATAAAAGGTATTTAATGTTCTGTAGTATAGATCATTGTCACCTGTTGAATATCAATTAGACTCATTTTAAGAATCTATTTTCAATAAAATGTGTATAAAGATTGTTTGTTTATGTTATCTTTACAAGCAGGGTGCAAATTACGGGGTAGCTAGAAGGGGCTTAGCTCCCCTGAGTGAGACATTAGCTCCCCTAAATGCAACAAAAGTCAAACTTTCGGGGGGGTCTCTAAATAATGCTAATTTAACCATCCTCCTATTTGTTTAAAATGCAGGGATTAATATGTTTTACAGTGGTAAATATGAAAATAAAAGCTTCCAAATGAAAGAACACGCCCACCTCTCTGTCATGGTTTAAACCCTTTATTTCTACATGGCTGCACAAACTGTCTCCCTGTCCACAGCACTGTCCACTCAGTAGTGCTGAATTTCAGCCTCAGCTGAGCTCCTTTAAACGCATACATTTTTATTTGTAGGCTACTTGCTCATTTTCGCCATTTGTTTGCCATGCACACTTGATAAAAATAGCATTTATTCCAATGCATTAGATTTATCCGTTGATTTATCATTGTTTGCTTTTGTCAGTCAGCTGTTTGGAGCGCTCATTGCTTTATTTTTCAGATGTGAACGGGTATTGTTCTCTGTGCCGTCCGTGGCCAGAAGAACATCTCTGGAGAGACCTGAAAATAGCTGTGCAGCGAAGCTCCCCATCCAACCTGACAGAGCTTGAGAGGATCTGCAGAGAAGAATGGGAGAAACTCCCCAATTACAGGTGTGCCAAGCTTGTAGTATCATACCCAAGATGACTCGAGGCTGCTAAAAGTGCTTCAACAAAGTACTGAGGAAAGGGTCTGAATACTTGTGTAAATGTGATATTTCATTCTATTTGTAAAAAATGTTTGCAAACATTTCTAAAAACTTTTTTTTGCTTTGTCATTATGTGGTATTGTGTGTAAATGAAAACACTAGCAAGTGTTTTCATTGACATTTTCAACCTCTCCCTGACCGAGTCTGAAATACCTACATGTTTCAAGCAGACCACCGTAGTCCCTGTGCCCAAGAATGTGAAGGTTACCTGCCTAAATGACTACCGCCCCGTAGCACTCTCGTCGCTAGCCATGAAGTGCTTTGAAAGGTTGGTCATGGCTCACATCAACACCATCATCCCGGAAACCCTAGACCCACTCCAATTTGCATACCACCCCAACAGATAAACAGATGACGCAATCACTATTGCACTCCACACTGCCCTTTCCCACCTGGACAAAAGGAACACCTATGTGAGAATGCTGTTCATTGACTACAGCTCAGCGTTCACCAACCATAGTGCCCACAAAGCTCATCACTAAGCTAAAGACCCTGGGACTAAACACCTCCCTCTGCAACTGGATCCTGGACTTCCTGATGGGCCACCCCCAGGTGGTAAGGGTAGGCAACAACACATCTGCCGCGCTGATTCTCAACACCGGTGCCCCTCAAGGGTACGTGCTTAGTCCCCTCCTGTACTCCCTGTTCACCCACGACTGCATGGCCAAGCACGACTCCAACATTAATTTTGCTAACGACACAACAGTGGTAGGCCTGATCACCGACAACGACAGCCTATAGGGAGGAGGTCAGCAATCTGGCAGTGTGGTGCCAGGACAACAACCTCTGCCTTATCGTAAGCCAGACAAAGGAGCCGATCGTGGACTACAGGAAAAGGAGGGCTGAACACACACTCACATCGACGGGGCTGTAGTGGAGCGGGTCGAGAGTTTCAAGTTCCTTGGTGTCCACACCAACAAATTATCATGGTCCAAACACACGAAGACAGTCGTGAAGAGGGCACGACAACACCTTTTCCCCCTCAGGAGACTGGAAAGCTTTGGCATGGGTCCCCAGATCCTTAAAACGTTCTACAGCTGCACCATTAAGAGCATCCTGACTGGTTGCATCTCTGCCTAGTATGGAACCTGCTCGGCATTCGACCGTAAGGCACTACAGAAGGTAATGCGTACAGCCCAGTACATCACTGGGGCCAAGCTTCCTGCCATCCAGGACCTACAGTATATACTAGGCGGTGTCAGAGGAAGGGACAAAAAATTGTCAAAGACTTCAGTCACCCAAATCATAGACTGTTCTCTCTGCTACCGCACGGCAAGCGTTACCGGAGCACTAAGTCTAGGTCCAAAAGGCTCCTTATCAGCTTCTACTCCCAAGCCACAAGAGTGCTGACCAATTAATCAAATGGCCACCCGGACTATTTACATTCATATTTTCTTAACTATTTCTTGAACGGCATTGTTGGTTAAGGGCTTGTAAGTAAGCATTTCACAGTAAGGTCTACACCTGTGGCATGTGACAAATAACATTTAATTTGATTTGATTTTGATTTGATATGATTAATGCATACAATAGCTGTAGGATCAGCAGAGGCATTCAGGGCAGTTAGAGGGACATAAATTAGGTTCCTTACATTGTTTCTTCCAACGCCCCTGGGATAATGTATATTTGCTGAAGCATTATGACAACTAAGCGACACAATGGTAGCGATTAACTGAGCTGGGCTTGGGTCATTGATAATTCATTGTTCCAACGCTGCCTAATAATGCTGTGAAAGGATCCAGGAACCCAAATGATTTGGGTGGATCCCATCCTCCTTATAAAACAAGCTTTGTTTCCAGAAGGTATCAAAATTGTCAATAAATATTACACCCACAGAGCTGTAATAGTCTCATAGCCAGTTATGGAGGGCTAAAAGTCTGCTGAAACGTTCAATGCCACGATTTAGGGAGGGCACAGGGCCAGATATTATGGGGCGTTTGTTGGTGTCAAGCAGAGACCCAATCACTTCTTTAAAATCCATCTTCAGCTGTTCTGAGCTGCCCTTCATAATGTAATTGAATCCCATATGAACTACACTGCTCAAAAAAATAAAGGGAACACTTAAACAACACAATGTAACTCCAAGTCAATCACACTTCTGTGAAATCAAACTGTCCACTTAGGAAGCAACACTGATTGACAATACATTTCACATGCTGTTGTGCAAATGGAATAGACAACAGGTGGAAATTATAGGCAATTAGCAAGACACCCCCAATAAAGGACTGGTTTTGCAGGTGGTGACCACAGACCACTTCTCAGTTCCTATGCTTCCTGGCTGGTGTTTTGGTCACTTTTGAATGCTGGCAGTGCTTTCACTCTAGTGGTAGCAAGAGACGGAGTCTACAACCCACACAAGTGGCTCAGGTAGTGCAGCTCATCCAGGATGGCACATCAATGCGAGCTGTGGCAAGAAGGTTTGCTGTGTCTGTCAGCGTAGTGTCCAGAGCATGGAGGCGCTACCAGGAGAAAGGCCAGTACATCAGGAGACGTGGAGGAGGCCATAGGAGGGCAACAACCCAGCAGCAGGACTGCTACCTCCGCCTTTGTGCAAGGAGGAGTAGGAGGAGCACTGCCAGAGCCCTGCAAAATGACCTCCAGCAGGCCACAAATGTGCATGTGTCTGCTCAAACGGTCAGAAACAGACTCCATGAGCCCAACACCGTGCAGGACGTTTGGCATTTTCCAGAGAACACCAAGATTGGCAAATTCGCCACTGGCGCCCTGTGCTCTTCACAGATGAAAGCAGGTTCACACTGAGCACATGTGACAGACGTGACAGAGTCTGGAGACGCCGTGGAGAACGTTCTGCTGCCTGCAACATCCTCCAGCATGACCGGTTTGGCGGTGGGTCAGTCATGGTGTGGGGTGGCATTTCTTTGGGGGCCGCACAGCCCTCCATGTGCTCGCCAGAGGTAGCCTGACTGCCATTAGGTACCGAGATGAGATCCTCAGACCCCTTGTGAGACCATATGCTGGTGCGGTTGGCCCTGGGTTCCTCCTAATGCAAGACAATGCTAGACCTCATGTGGCTGGAGTGTGTCAGCAGTTCCTGCAAGAGGAAGGCATTGATGCTATGGACTGGCCCGCCCGTTCCCCAGACCTGAATCCAATTGAGCACATCTGGGACATCATGTCTCGCTCCATCCACCAACGCCACGTTGCACCACAGACTGTCCAGGAGTTGGCGGATGCTTTAGTCCAGGTCTGGGAGGAGATCCCTCAGGAGAC